CTGAAGCAACAGGTCATCCTGGTGCTTCTGCTTGCTCGTGTGTTCTTGGACAGCTTTAACTGTGTGCAGAGCCCTTACAGACATTAAGACTGGAGCTGATGGACGTGCTAGTGTCACAGCAGGACCCTCGGTCCGTGCCTATGCAGTCAAGGGGGGAGGATGGAGCAGGTAGCACGAAGCCTCGTCCCTTTGCTCACGCTCATGTTGGTGACTTGGGACCRGCAGCTGCAGGGATTGCTGCCTCCTCCCTCTGGGCAAAGGGCCTTTGGCAGCCTGAAGATACTTGGTCTCTTTTCTGAAGCACAGGACAGGGATGATGGGGATGGTGTTCTTTGCTGGCACAGCGGCACCAGCAGCTCCTCTTGGTTGGTGCAAGGGCTGTGTGAATCCAGCCCAGGAGTGCATGTGTCCTGGAGAGGGACAGCAGGGCAGGCTGCCACCAGCTAGGTGGATGAGGTCCCTCTTGGCAAGGTCTCTAATCCCGGCCCACCCTTGTAAGAGGGGAAGGGGCAATCTGCCCTTCTCTGCTGCTTCTGTCCTTGCACTCTGCCTATGCCCGCTCTGGTTGCTTGGAGCTCCTGGGAGAGCTCCGCAGTGCCATGGCACTGGAGAAGGAATTGTCCCCAAACACAGTCTGCTTGTTAGAAGGAGCTGGATTTGGCCAGGTAATGCCCAGGCTGCCCTGGAGTGCCCTGTGTGCCTTTGGGCTGAGCCAGGAGCTTGTTTGGAGGTGGAGAGCTGCACCGCGTAGGGGTGCTGGCACTGCCCTGGCCCTGCCTTCCCGGGAGCGCAGGAGGCGCGGGGCTGCTGCGCGGTCTCCCTCGTGCCCACTCTGCTGGCTCTCCTCCTCCTGCTAGTTAATATTAGTATTCAGTTTGTGGAACGGGCTATGCAATTAACACAAAGGTACAGTCATTCATCCTGACTGGAGGACTCATGGGATCAGATGTGCTGGGGATAGGAAGCGGAGGCTTTCTGCTGGGAAAGAATGTCACAGCACAGCGGACACAGAAATGAAAAGCTATTAATAATGATCCCGGAACTTCACTTCCATCAGCTGTTTATTTAAAGGTGCTCCGTATTCAAAGCCTCCTGATTTATGTGGGCAATAGCACTCGCAGTCCTGGGATCACTTTTTTAAGCAAGGCTAATGGGGTGAAACCATCATACTGCGACAGTGGAGATCAAGCTGGGAAAATGATACTGGAGAGAAAAATAAACTATTGCCTAGATTATCCAGGAGCTGTGCTGGGCTGGGAGTCAGTGCAAGCTCCCTGCTTTTCCTGTGTTTATTGAGGCTTTTACTTCCACTCTTGTTCTTTCTGAGCACAGTTTATCGGGCATGGGAGGATATAAAAATTTGATTCTATCAGACAGGATGCTAAAAGCTTCTTGCTTGGCGTCAGTGTGCATTGTTGCCTGTAGCATGGCCACATGTGGTGATGTTGTGGCCCGCCTGGCCTCCGGTGCCTGTGGGGCTGGCTGCTCTGGGCAAGGGATGTCCATTGACTTCTGCTTCCCTCCCCCTTGGCATTTGTCCGTGCAGCCTCGGTGCTGGGTCTAGGCATGGGGATAAACTATGCAGGCTGGTTCTACAAGGGCTGTTCGGTGGCGTCAGGAGCCGAGGTGGCTTTGGCATGACCTCCCAATGCTTCCCTTGCCCTTCAGCAAGASAGTTGTGTTACAGTTGCAAGAGGTGCCCTTACTGGTTGCGTCCCAGTCCATCCAGTCAGTCTGCGGGGACAACCTTGGGTTTCGAGGCTCCCGGACCCCAGGCAGTGCTCAGTGCCTGTGCCAGCCTTGCCCGGGGGTTCCCTTGCTCTGGCTCCCGCAGGGCRGCAAGCAGCCTGGTCGGAACTGGCGAGCGCTTCCTGGTAAGGTGCAATGTGCTCGTGTCGCTGGGCTGCGCTGCCGGCAGCTGAGGCTCACGCTGCTCTGGACGGGCCGGCACTCTGGACCCAAGTGCTGTGTATCATTGGGTGCTATTTGTGGGAGTGGTAATTAGCRGAATGAAGCAAATGATTCCAAATAAATAATACATCTATCATTAATAAGTGAATGCATAATTTAGTCTATGGCTATTATCTGTCTGCAAGTTGCTGACAAGGAGGTGGTGATTTTTCAGCCTGTTGTGTGCTGGAGAAAGCCTTTTTGTAGAGCTCCTTGGCATGTGGAGCACTGCGAGAACCACCTGCTTGGATACTGGACGCTTCTGTTCCAGTTTGTAGATCTCTGGCACAACAAAAGGGTTGTCTGGGTGTGCTGACTGAAGGAGAGACGGGCTTTGCTTTGAAGGAGCCTCTCCCTGGGTGACCATCCTGAGCCGCTGTGGCTGCCGCGGCTCTCCGGCCCATTCTGAAGAAYGTCTCTCAGGACTGGCCCTGTTTCTGTGGTGCTGTGATACCTTCATTTCCCCCGCATAGCTGCTTTTCAGAGAGCAGGAAGCCACTTCTTTTGCCTGCCAAAGACCTTCAGGCAGGATGGCACCGCTCAGAAGGTGCAGCGTGGAGCAGTCCAGGCTGCCTTGGTGCTCCTCCTGCCCAGCTGCAGTGTTGATGCTACACGRGCAGGTCTGGTGTAGAGCAGCACATTTTGGCAGAACTAATTTTCCTATCTGGTATCTCATTCTGTTTTTAATTCTTAGTTAATGAGCTCCTCTGAAAATAAGAAAACATTGGAAGACTTTTCTTAAGTGTGAAAGCTTAGGCTGAAATTGGCATTAAAGGGGCTAATTGCTCCCATTCTGGTACCTTTCTGAAGGCTGTTCCTGCTACAGAGCTTGTTCTCAGGTGGACTTGCATCTCCATAGGCTGCTTTCAGGCACAGGTACCAGCAGCAAAGTGGTGCCTGCTCCTGCTTGGAGCAGCCCTGGGCTTGATTGTCCTGTCGTGCAGCAGAGTTGCTCTTCAGAGCCGCAGGCAGGAGCCCTGCGTGGCTCCTCCTTCTCTTTGCTCTTGTCAGGCCCGTGACCTTACTGCTGAGCCTGGTCCAGGCCTCCTTGTGCTTCAGCATGGCTGACCCTCTGCTGACTTGGTCTCTTCTCAGTGTGACAGTGCTGCCATAGGAAGGGACGTCCCTGGCATCGTGCATGCTAGAAGGAGAGGCCACATGTCTCCTGTCATCAGGACTGAGACATTTCCAGGAAGAAAATTGCTAAGAGCATTAAAATGTATAGAGAAGAAGAGTGAGTGGCAGCAAGAGCTCCACAGGAGTGGTGTGTGCCTGCCATAATATTTAAACCAGAGGACTGAGTCTGAGCCTGACCTTGAAACCTGAGCAGTAGAGTGAGGGAAGCAACTTTGAACCCTTCTGGCTCAGCAATGCCCACTTGTTATTCTCTGTAGAAATTTGGGGAGACTTTCATGGGAGGTGGGAAGCTGCAGACAAGAAAGCTATGAACGTCTTCAATTTTCCATTTAACTACACAATATTGAATGATAAATAATTCATATATCTGCCAAACATTTGATTAAAATAACCCAATTCCCTCGACATTTGTCAAGGAGTAAGAATTCCATTTTATTTTTTACTTTACTCTGTCCTTTAACTCCTTGCAGATACTTGCCTGCCCCAGCTGTGGCAGCCTTGCCTTCCCTTGCCCTGTCTGAGGCACTATGGTATTTGTGCTGCCTCTTGTTCCTTCTGCAGGTCCCCGGGGGCTGAGGAAGCCACGGTAGGTGGGAGTGTGGTGACACTGGTAGAAGAYGCACCCCCGTGGCGAGCAGGGGACACTGTGGTCCCTGGGTGGCCTGGGGCCATGGGAACCAGCGTTGGTGGGAAGGGAGGCCCGTGGATCCTCTCTCCTGCTACAGAGTGTTTGTGACTCTTTGTGAAGCAGAAGTGTGTGAAGATGTGAGGCTCTTGGGATGCAGTTCTTGACTGTGCAGGGTGTGTGCAAGGATTTGGATGCTGCTATTTGGATACAGCTTTCTGTCTAAATCCTAAATTCACCAACCTGYCCTGAACGCTGCTTAGAGAGTTCTCTGGCTCAGTCCAGCCCTCCCGAAGTTGCTCGCAAAATCCTTGGCCAAGATAGGCTCCTGTTGCTTATAGATTTTTGTCTCCTACATAAGGCCCTTTGGCACTCCGTGTCAGGTCGCAATTGAACTTGTCACTTGCTTTTCCTTTCACATTTCATGCCACGTTTTGGGTTCATGGCAATTTTTGTTTCTTTTTTTCCCCAGCCACTGAGAACTTTGATTCTTCTGCTGCCTCTATGAGAGACTGGGCAGGACCTGAGCTATAGCAGCCCTGCTGTTGGTCTGCTCCCTGATGGAGCCGTCAGTGGGTGCTGGTGTTTGCAGCGCTAGGCAATTGGCAGCTTTTCTGTGCAAAGCAAAATGTAGCCAGGCCCTGTCTCATCTTGGTGCCCAAGTGTTTTTTTTTTCTTTTTATTTCAGACTGTTACCCAGATGCAAAAAAAAAAAAAAAAAAAAAAAAAAAAAAAAAAAAAGGCGCGCATATCCTGTGATTCCTTGAATTGTCCTTTGGGATCAGCCCTGCCTGTTCCGTGGGCAGGTGTCCAGGCTCCCCATGCACTGGTGCAGCAGGACGTGCATTGTGGGCGCTGACGCCGTGTCTGCTGTTGTCCGAGGGCTGGTCTGGATGCCCAGGCTCGGCTCTTGGGACCCGGCCTTTCTGTCAAGCCCATCATGCTCCCCATGGCTGCGGTGCTGGTGAGGTATGAGCCCCGCGTCCCTGCTGTGCCCCAGTGCTGTGAGTGACCTGGCTCCTTGCCGCCKCCTTGACTTGGGGAAGCTTCTGCAGGGCCTGGGCAGAGGGAATCGTGGATGTGCCGAGAATCGCAGGAAGCTGTCTTCGCTTTCGCCTCCTCAGTTTGTTTTTAAAGGCAAATTAAAGCATTGTATTCACGTAGACAAGGCATGAAAATTCCATATTTGGAAAAGAATTGCTGCAGAGCGAGACCGTTATGGCTGTAAAACCMTCCCCAAGGCAGGCTTTGAGATTTTCTTTGCAATTAATATTTCTTTGAATTTTGGACCAAAGTAGATTTGGAGGAGAAAAACCTGAACTTTGAAAATACTTTTTCTAAACAATGCTTGGGCAAGAGCTATAACAAATATTGTTCCTCCTAGTGTGTCTGATAGCAGAATGTGACTGAGCGTGAGAAATGAAAAGGCTGTGAATAGCTCCTGCACTGACAGTTGCTGCATCCTTTCTATGTGAATTCCTCAAGGCAGCATCAAAGGGGCTATAGTTAAACTTAAAGCAATGTTAAAGAAGGGAGAAAATGGATGTTTAGTCATACAGTCCTGAACGTCGTGTAGGTAGAAATTCCTCTGGAAAAAACAGCTTTGTCTGAGCTGCGTGCAAGTTCATCTGAGAAGGAAAGCAGAAGAGGAAGTTCCCTGCTGAGAGAATAATTCCAAGACAGAAGAAAGAGCAAGCCTAGAGATCTACTTCAAGGACAAGCAAGATTAAACTTTCAGTAAGTACAATGGGCTTCTTGCCCTGTTATTAAAGCTGGGGTTAGGGTGACATTAGTGAGAAAACTTCAATTTATCATTATCTCCCTGTGTTGCGTGGCTTGGATCAGGGCAGAAGACTCGCTGAAAGGCAGATTACTATCTAGCATTGCTTTGCACTGCCTGGACGTGCACTTGGAATATGTTCATCTGGTAGCTGTAGTTTCAAAGGCCTTTCATGCATAAGTAAAAAAATAAAAGCAATTTAAATATCCTCTTTCAAACTCTGCAGTTCTGAATCCCTTGACCACTTATCTCTACTATTTGTAAAGGCTGATATGTGTCATCTAGATCAATATCTGCAACCATGTCTATCAGTTGTTTGATAAAATATATTTGGTTTTTGGAAAGGCAATAAAATGATGTCTTCTGCATGAATGCATGCAGGGATGCTATGGACTACAGAGCTCAGAGGACAACTTCTCTAGGCTCAGCTTTTCCATGGCACCACATTATTCTGACGGTTCATCCAGCTTAGTATTTTCAGAAGACTGGACCTTATGTGCAACAATGCTGATGGGATCTGCTGTGGGATGGGTCACTGCTGTGCAGTGGCCATGGTTGTAACTGCTCTTGATGCAAGGGGGCTTTGCCCTGGCTGGCACTGCTGTGCCTTGCGGAATTAGTCATGTGTGGCCATTTACTGCAGTTGAAGAGGCTTCTTGGTGGAGAGAATGTGTCCCTGCGATGGTGCTGAGGGGAGGTCAGCACCTCAACGGTGGTGTGGACCCGGTATCTAGAGCAGTAGAACCGCCTGGTAGGGCAGAAGGCTGGAACTGGAGACTGCCCTGGGTGCTCCGTTGTCCAGCCCGGGTGAGAAGCTTTGCTGATTGGTGCTGTGCCCAGGTATGGGGCTGGAGGGATGCAGGGGTCCTGGATCAGTGCCTTGCTGGCATGTGCTGTCAGAGCAGTACATGGGGTGCTGGACACTTGTGCACTGGAGATTTCTTGTGGTGAGGCCCAGTCTGGAGTTGACAGAGACTCATGTCTGGCAAAACTGCCTCCTTTCTCTCCTGTAGATTTTGAGGAGCAGTTCATAAAGGAAATGTCTGTTTGCGTTCTCTTGTCTTACAATATCGAGCAGAGAAAGTGAACTCCAGAGAGCTTAATTTCATGACTTAGCCCTAGGCCTGGAGATTATGAACCATCTTAAAGCTTTGCCGCAGCCTTGCCGGTATTGCCTCCATACAGCAGATAGTGCAAGTGTGTGTGTAGCCAGACGGCTCCTTTTCCCAGGAAGGGAAGCATTAAGTGGATTTGGATCCTGTTTTAGAGGATGTAGCTATATACTGTTTGCTGCACTGCAGGTGGCACCAAGGCAGAATTTGGCGAGACAGTTGCAGGCTTTTTGGCACTGCTGCATATGCAGAGAGGTGTTTGTGGGGCCCGTGGGGCTGTCCGGGCTCTCGGAGCAGGGAGAGTGTGGACAGGGCTGAGCTGGCACTGGTAAGGTCACAGAGCTGCTGTTTGGTGCCTGCACATGGCCTCAGCTGCTTCCTTGGGACTGAAACGTGCTGCTCCTGTGCTGGGCTCCCTCGTTGCTGCTGTCCCTGCTGCTGGCCATGGTGAAAGAGCTGCCCGAGGCTGACACTTTGGACATGCTTGGGTCATGAGGGCTGGGACCTCTTTGGGGGCCATGCAGCCCCTAAGGCAGAGGAACCTTACTGTGTCCAACCCCTGCCCTGAGCCATCCCTGAAGAGGCTGCTGTCCAACCTGCTGGAAGCAGAACCTTGGCTGTGGACCAGGATGTGCCTCTGACTTCCATCTCCCTCTCTTGTCTCCCTGGTGCTTCTCTACCTGCCCTGCAGCAGCTCAGCTGGGTGCGGAAAGTTGAAGCTGAGCTGTCAGGAGCCCATCTGGTGCTTGCGGGGCTGCGTCCAGACATTTTGGTTCAAAATTCCTCCTGGGTGGCGGGTGCTGCTGTTCCGCTCTGGGGCTGGCATCCAGCTGGGCAGCGCTGCAGCATAGAGGTGAAGGGCTGAGCTGCATCAGGCAGCACTTCTGCTGGGTGCTGCTGCCTGCCTGTGTGCCCCTCGCCCGCACTCCTCTGCACCGGGCTGCGTTTGTGAAATGAAATAAATATTGACACGGACGGGATGCTATTCAATTTGTCCTGATCACTGGGCTGCGGTGAGTTCTGACAGAGCAGAGTGTAAAACATAAGCTCAGGATGTAATTTCTACTGTCAACATGATGTACAGTACGACTGTGCCAAGCACGGCGAGCGTGCGGGCTGGTAGGGAGGAGGGGCGAGCGCTGTGCCCGCGCGTGGCAGCAGAGACCGAGGAGCAGGGTGGCCGTGTCGGGCGGGAGCCCCGCGCTCGGCGTCGCAGCTTCGGTGCCCTCTTCCAAGCCCTGGCACCGCAGCAGCTCCCGCTAGCAATGCAGTAGTCCCCAGCTCACGCGGCGGGGATGTGGCACAGTTGGCTGCTCGGGAAGGGGGCTGCTTAGTGATGTGGGAATAAAAACTGAGGGTGAGGAGCTGACTTCGCTCATGGTGCTGTGCTAGTCCTGGCCGGGACGTTGGGCCCTCCGGGTGTCCCTGGGTAGCCCCAAATGCTGTGGCGCATGCAGGAGGCTGGGCGTGCATGTCCTCGAGTGGCTCCAATGCCACAGCCCCCGGGGAGGTGAGAGCATTGCCCCATGGCAGCTCTGACTGCTGCTGAGGGCTGTGCCCTTGGCAGAGAGAAGCAGAGGGCTTTGGGGTGGGGAAGAGCCACACTGCAGCACCAAGCGCCTTCAGTGACGAGCTGAGCACCGACATCTGCCAAAAAACAGGTAGATGGACTTTCAGGCTGGGACCTGAGAGCATCCAGAGGATGTGCCATGCCCCTTGCCTGCAGCAAGAGCATGCAACCACTCAGGCAAATTGTGCTGAACTTGGGCAGGGTGAGATGGCAGCTGGCAAACAGCATTAGCTCAGATATAGCAATAAGACAAGTAAACTGTTAAGTGCAAAAAGCTCCATAATGGCAGCGACTCTAAACAGGGGTTGTGGTTCCCACAGCAACGGCAGCCCGGCCCTGTGTGCGCAGCAGGGCTCTCCCGCTCGGCAGCGCCTGCATGCAACGGAACCGAGCAAGTTGCCTTGGGAACTGTGGGCAGGTCCGCGGTGCCGGGCACAGCGCTCCTCCAGCACGGCCGGCCTGTCACCTGCCCTCTGCCCTCGTGGGCTCTCTGCCTTCCCTGCGTGGCTCTGTTTAAAGTGTCACTTAGTGGTTTATTGACAGCGTTTTGGATGCAGTTGCCTTGGTTTATACACTGTAATTCTGACAAGGCTGAGCAGAAGGGCACAGTGTGTGGTTCTGGATAACTAGCAGTGCCATCCCTGCACGTGGTGGGGCAGCTCTTCACACTGTGGAGGAGATTCAGCACCYTGCTGTGGGTGCTGTTGACTTGGATGTTTGGTGGTGCCGTGTGGGGCCAGGGAGGTTCTCGCTGCCCTCGTAGAGCTGCTGTTGAGGTGCTCTGCGTGGCCAGTGCGCCGGGGGCAGGTGGGACTGCATGCAGCTGTCCCTGCTGCGCTGCGCCCTGGTGTCTGTGCTGGGCTCCCTGCGGAGCGGAGCTGGCTGCAGAGCGGCTCTGCCTCGTGGTGGGGGGCCTCGGACCAGCACTGAGTGGTGGGGTGGCAGGAAGTGTGGGCCCTGGGGTGATGCCAGGAGGCTTCTGCAGCTGGTGACAGCCCCTGCCGAGGCTCTGCGTATGTGATGGTTCTCGAGAACGTGCACAAAGGAACGGTTGACTTCATTTCTGTTTCTGGCATTTGCATTTAGCAGGTACCATTCCCTTGCACAGGGTTTTTGTACCTGTCTAGAGACGGTGCTYGTGAAGTGCAGCAGTGTTGCAGGATGCAGTGCCCGCAGAAGGAGGAAAGATGCACGTCTGTCCCTGAGCCGCGTGAGCAGGGGTGGGCCATTTGTCCCACACTTAGTCTCCCCCGTGTTTTGGCCTGGAGCTTTTCTTTGGCACGTGGCTTCTGCTGGCCAATTTATTGGCACCTCCTGCTGTCTAGGAGACTCGTTCCAAAATAGCCACAAATTCCTCCAATGTGAGAAGCTGAAGAGGTGCTGAGCATGGCAGCAGAGCTCAKTTTTTTTGTGTATATCTGCTGTGCATCTGTTTGTGAGGTAAAACAGCTTGCTCTGTTGCTGGCACCGTAACAGAGCTGCTGCAGGTGGGGCAGCCTCTGCTCCTTTGCCTCTTTGTCCATAAAAGTTTGGTCAATGAAGGGTGCAGCTGCTCTAGCCAGTAAACCTCAGATGGGGGGAACAAGCCAGGCCATGTCGCCAGTCTCCTGTGCTTAGTATTTCGTGCTGTTTGATTGCAGGCATTCTTGCCAGGTTGCAAGAGCACCTGGTCCTGTTGCAGCAGTGGCAAGAATTGCTTGTGCACAGGGAGGCCTGACAGCAGGAAGAGTTTTATTTTCCATTGACAATAGCCTTGCATGGCTAATAATGACAGCCCATTTTGGCTCCGTGCTGCCTGTGTTGAGGGGGCTGTGGGTGGGGGAGGCTGGTGTCTCAGCACCGCGACTCTTGGCACAGCATGCTGCAGCCCTGGCMCTCTGCGGAAAGTGCACAGTGCAGTGCTTGCAGGTATGAGCTGGCAGGAGTGTGTGTGGAAGATCCGTGTGTGCATGGAGGCCTGGTATGTGGACACCCAAATGAGGCACAAATGGTGACACTCGCTCTATATTCTTTCTGCAAAATACTTTGGCCTCAAGTTTAGCCAAGCTGCTTCTTTTTTAGCCTGGGGCCTTAGGAGTGAGATGCCAGGAAAGTGAAACTGGGTCCATGATGGATAGCTGGAAGCTCCTGCTGCTGGAGCCGGTGTCTCCTGGAGGGAGCCTTGCCCATGCCCGTGCCTGGTGCAGCACAGCCCATGGTGCCGAGGCACCCGGGCAGTGGCAGTTCTGGACTTGTGGTGTGGAGCATGGTCCCCTTGTGCCCATCTGCAGCGTGGCGGGTGCTCCCTCTGCACCAGGTAGTGCTGCGGGGAGGCACCATCTGCAGATACTGGAGCACTGCTGCTCATGTCCTGCTAGAGCATGAAACCACCAAGGTGAGGAGAACTTGGGGTGCGCTTGCTGCTCTGCTGCTGGTGTCCCAACTGTGGCCACACCACAGGCTGGGCTCTGGCATGGGGCAGTGCTGGGCGCACGCAGCTGCCTCTTGCACCACCACTGATACCTTGGCCTTTTCTAGGCTCCTGGAGATGCTGCCAGCTGCCTTATGCCTGCCCGCATGAACTGTTGGAAGATGGCCGTGACGGACATCGCATGGGCAAAGGATCTTCGCCAGGTGCCAGGATGTCCCCCTGCCAAGGATGGGCACCAGGAGCGTGAGCGCTGCAGGCCCCGGGCTGCAGGACACCTTGCCTGGGAGCGTGTGGCTGCCACGGGCCGGGTGAGCAGCGGCTGCCACAGCTCACCCCGCTAGCACTGCTGCCAAGCACTGCGCCGAGGAGCTGCCCCTCGCCTCTCCAGCGCGCCCGTTTGGGCCGTGGGCTGCGACCCGCTCCGAGCAGAGCGGTGCAGCCTGCTCCTGGGACATGCCAGCTGCGGACTCTGCCCTGGAGAGCTGCGCGCAGCCCGTGAGGCGCTGGCACCCACCACACCTGCACTAGCAGCCAAGGGCTCGGGCAGCCCCCGTCACACATGCACCTCTGTCCTGCCGGGATGGGAGTGCTGCGGCAGCAGGACATGAAGTGCAGCGGGATGGGGGTGCTCTGCATGGACCAGTGAGCTGCACGCTGCTGGTGTGAACTTTTCCTACTCCTCCTCCTTCCCAAAGAATGCCAGTTGCCTGCCCAAAATCTCCTGTCCATGCAGCCTGTTGGAGTGTGATGGCGGAGGGTCTGCAGGGCTTCCCCTGGGCCGTGCTGCTGCTGTGCTGCGCCCTGCTGCCACCCGCGGCCTGGGCCTTGCAAGCCGAGCTGGGGGGGCCCGTGCTGGGACAGCCGGGGGACCCTGCGCTGCTGGCTGGGGGCAGAGTGAAGCGTGGCTGGGTCTGGAACCAGTTCTTCGTGGTGGAAGAGTACACGGGCACGGAGCCGCTGTATGTGGGCAAGGTAAGGCAAGCTTGATGGGTCCCTGCCGGGGGAAGGACCCATGGCAGGGGGTGGGTGGGTGGGGAAGGGGCTTGCGTGGTGGGCTCGTGGGGCAGGTGGAAGGATGGGGAGATCAGGAGCCACGTCTCTGCTGGGGTTTGATAGGGTTGATCCCACCTTCTGAGGTCGCTTGTGGCCCCTCAAGGATTGTGCTTGTAGGGACAGGTTCTGTTGAACCCTCAGGGCAGCAATGTCTGTTTCTTTGCTGATCTCCCATGCAGAAGGCAGTGGCAGAGCAGGTGCCTTGCTCCTGCGTGACAAGGAAATCCCGTCCCTGCTCCTGGCAGAGGAGGGTGTTGTGGCACTTCTGCCTCTTGGCCTGGTCCCCGTGGGGCGGTGGGGAAGGTGCTCAGCGTCTGGTGCCCAAAGGGGCTCGGGGATGTCCGAGTCTGGAGAAGGCTCAAACACAGGTCCTTGACCACGTGCCAGGTGGGTTCCAGTGGTGCTTTGTGTCCGTTGCAGCCAGCACTTGGGCGGTGCTGGATGCAGTTACAGCTAACACCCAGCTCTCCGGGTGGGTGGTCCCTTCCACAGCCCTTCCCCACTGTCACCAATGGCCAGCATGACCCAGAGCAATTCCCTGTCAGTGCAGCCCTAGGGCCAGGAGCCGCTGGCCCACGCAGGTCTGGGTCTGGGGAGGATGTTCCCTGGTGGCGCCATGGAGCCGGGGGCGCTGGCCCATCCTGTGCAAGCCTGGCCTGGCCTGGGGGATCTGCAGCATCCTGCTTCGCCCCGCCAGTGTCTGAGGCTCCTGCTGGACTGGCTGGTCTGGCCATCCGCAGCATCCCTTGTACCTCTCCACGTGCTCTTCGAAGGGCCAATACAATTTCCATAAAATCTGGGCTCTCCAGCTAATCCTTCTTCTGAACTGTAATTTCCCCCGAGGCTGCTGTCAGTTTGATGTGGATTTCTTTGGTTTTTTTAAATAGAATTATGGGGTCAGCACTAGTTACAAACTTCTGCATGTGGACAGATCTATTTTAGATAGAGGAGAGGATTAAAGGGAAAAAAAGCAGATTTAATTAAGTTGCTAATATTTAAAGAAAATTGATGAACTCAGGCTTTATGAGTTGGAGCAAACAGAGTGCGCCTTTATTATGGGCTAGTTTTTGTTTGATTTGCTTTCTTTTTCAGCCCCAGAGTCGTTTTTCATTTGTGTATCCGTGCTTTCTGTTTAATCGGTTTTAATAAGGAATATGCACCTCTGTTCGCATTTAATTTTGATTTAATTAGTAGGAAGTAATTAACAGCCTCATGAAATTCCTGGTTTTAGCCCTTTAGGACAGGGAAACCACTTTGCTGTTCAGCAGGTGGAGCAGGTGGAGGACTCGGGTCTCCCAGCAGGTGCCAGCCACCGCGGGCTTGTTCCCGATGGGGAGCTGGGTGGTGTGGGCGGCAGCGCTGGGCCCCGTCCTGGCCCCTGGGTGCCGTGCAGCCCATACAGCCGTGCGCGTCGCCCCGTGCAGGGCATCCCTGGGAGGCGGACAGGCCAGCGCTCCGCGGCAGCGCCCGGGGTGCCCTCCCCCGTGAGCCTCCTTTTAGCCAAGCCACACAGATCTAGCGCTTTTAATCTTCCCTTGTAAATCAATCTCAGCGTCTTGAGTCCAGGCTCCATTTTCCTTCGTGGCTTTCCAGTTTGCGGGGATCTGCTCCGAGTGCCCTTGGTGCCAAACAAACATGAGGAGGACAGGCTGCAAGCGTGGCGGGGCTGGGGAGGTGCCGGAGCTGCCTCCGTGCTCGCCCTCATCGCTGTTAGGGAGGTGCAGGGGTCACGGTTCTGCAGCACGGAGCAGCTGTCCCGTCCTCGCTGGAGCTCCGTCCTGCTGAAGCAGGAGCGAGGCTGGCGGCTGCAGCGCGGAGCGGCCCGAGGGCAGCAACGGGCCTCCGTGCCTCCTGTCGGGTGGCAGCCACTTCCCTGGGGAATGTGGTGCAAAGTGCATCGGGCTGCCTGGCGTGGGGGCCCCTCGCTCCTGAAATAAATACATAAACTGTATCTAACAAGACAAATATAATGAAGGTCTCGTAAAAAGAGGCAGCTCTGGTATAAATTCTTGCCGGTGGAGCTGTGTGTCTGAAAGGTGGATTATGGAACGGCAGTTTGGAAGATTGAATGGCCCATAAACATTTTCATATTTCATTAGCCGATTAATGGACTTTTTTTTTCTTTTCTTTTTTTTTTTTTTTCTCTCTTTGGCAACTTTGCTGATTCTAAGCAGAAAGTGCAGAGAGCAAACGAAGGCGGCTGACGAAGCCTTTCCAGGACTGGTCCTCTTATGGATGGTCCCAATTAGCGCTGCGCTGCTCTGTCAAATGCATTCAGCCTGTCCAGTTACTGTTAATAGATTTCTCATAAGTGGCTGGATTGCGAAAACCTCATAACTCAGTTTAATGCCACCAATAAAATGATCAGTGGACGCCTGGCCTGGCTTCCAGTCAGCTCCTTGTCCATGGGGAGCTGCTATTTACCCTTTCTTTCCCTGACTTCAAATGCTGTGTTAATTGGGAAGCTGCAAGGGAAAGGGCTACAAAAGCATCTCCCAGGGGCTTCCTCCATCCTGAGTGTGGGTTTGGAAGCCATCAGCCCCAGGCAGGACATGTGGTGAGTGCATGAGCTCTTGGGCAGGTCAGAAGGGCTCCTTGTGCGGTGGGGACACCAGTGGCCTGGGATGTCCCGCGTGGCCTGGATGCAGTGAGTTTGTTCCTCTGTGTGGGATGTGGGTGGCAGCGGTACCGGGTAGAGCTCCCTGTGCCAGCCCCAGTGCTGCCCCCCTCTGCCTCTTTCCCACAGATCCACTCGGACTCAGATGAAGGGGACGGCTCCATCAAGTACACTATCTCTGGGGAGGGCGCGGGCACCATCTTCCTCATCGACGAGATCACGGGCGACATCCATGCCACTGAGCGCCTGGACCGGGAGCAGAAGACCTTCTACACGCTGCGGGCGCAGGCGCGTGACCGGCAGACAGATCAGCTGCTGGAGCCCGAGTCGGAGTTCATCATCAAGGTGCAGGACATCAACGACAGCGAGCCCCGCTTCCTCGAGGGGCCCTACATCGGCAGCGTGGCCGAGCTCTCCCCCATCGGTAGGTGCGGGTGGCTGTGCCCCCGTTGTGCTTTCGCGGCGCTGCAAATCCCTGCCTGGGCAGCAGGGAAGGAAGAGTAAATAAGGGGGCTTAGGAGAAACAAGTGGATAAATCCTTGAGCCGATTGCAGGCTGCGGCTGGAGCTCGGGGCCGGGCTGGGGAGGCGCCAGCTGCCGTGTGCTGCAGCGGTGGGGGGGCAGTCCGAGGACGGCATCGGCCATGGCGGACCGGGACCACCAGCAGGGACAGACACCAGTCACGGGCCGCCCCAGCGCTGTCCCTCCCCTCCTGGAGCCGCACGGTGCCCGCTGGCTCTGCAGCGCTGTGGGCTTTCACTGCCGGCCGAGATCGGGGGTTGTTGCATGTGGTGGCAGAGCAGCTTCCCCCTCTCTCCTAGGGCATCCCAAGCTCCCTCCGGGACTGCCGAGCTCCCCTTCCTCCTCCCTCCCCCTGCCCAAGTCCTCTCCCACCTCAAGCTGTGGCCAGGCGCTCCTGGGGAAATGAAAGCCAGCGTGTAGGCAGCAAAACAGGAGGCATCCCATTCCCAAAGGGAAGAAGGAAATTAAATTAATCTATTTTGCTTGAACAACTTTTAAAAAAAGGCAGGAATTCTCAACTCCGGGTATTAGACAAGGATCCCAATTCTTTGAAAATCGCTAACAATTATGGAGCTGCCTGATCAGACTGATGTGAACAAGACATATCAAAGGAGACAGTGTCTATGCGAAATTGGAGATCAGAGGGAGAAAGAAACACGGTTTCAGAACATGAAAGCAGTCAATTCCTGCAAATTAAAATATTCAGAAGTTAAAAGTAAGGAGAAGTGTTGCAAGCGGCGTGGGATGTGCTTCCGAGCCGCGCGCTCGCAGCGGGAGCCGCATCCCACGTGCGCTCTGCCCTCGCTCTGCCTGGCGGGGCCGCCCACAGCCTGGGCAGCCCCGACTACCGAGGGGCTACCAGTGGCTTGGCCTGGCGGGACCGGGTGATGGGCAGGGAGTACAGTTCTTCAACGGTTGCTGCCACATGGTCCCCAGCATGAGTGCTCAGCTGGAGGCTCCTGCCTGTGGCTCCTGCAAGCCCCTGCTGGCTCCCAGCACTGCCAGGGCTTCACCCAGGAGCAGGCAGAGCGGGCGATGGGGCTGAGCCAGCCTGGGCAAGTGCTAAGGGAGGCAGCCCCATGGTAGCTCTGAGTGCTCCGTTGCAACTGGCCCTGGTGCGCAGCACAACATGGGGTGCAGCAGGAGATGGGCTGCTGGTGCTAGAGCCCGCAAGCTCAGCTATAGGGTGCCGTAAGGTTATAGGGTGCTGTAGGACTATAAGGTGCAGCCTGGGGGGCTACTGCTGGGGTGTGGGATGGGGAGGGAGAGGGGTGGAGTTCAGGACCTGGCCAAGCACATGAGCAGTACCCTGTGGGACCTGTTCTCATGGGTGCTCTGCTTTAGGGTGACCTGTCCTCGTGTGRCTGGGACTGGGGCTTTGCTCTTGATTATGGTTTTCTGACCGAGATGGGCAGAACATCCCTCCTAGATCCAAGGAATGTTTCCATAAGAGCTGATCGGTAGTTACCTGTGCCTGCCTGTTGGTAGAGGGGATCACCTGGGGCAGGAGGACGGAGCAGCTGTTGAAACCTTGATGCAAGAGGTAATCCAAGCTCAGGAGACTTGCCGGCGGTATGTCCAGTCTCTGCTTGGTTGGGTGAAGGTGTTTCCCAGGTCCCCAGAACCTAGAGCTGTGCTACCCGCTGTGGAGGGGGCTGCATGGGGCAGGTGCTGGGAGTGGAATGTCCTCCAGCTTGGAGCACGGCTGCAGGGAGCTGTTGTTTGTTCCGAGCCTCTGCTGCTCTGCAGCCCAGCCTGACAAGCAAGGGTGACCTGCCTCCTCCTCCTCTCATGCTCCTGCTTCCCATCCCCAGCTTGGGCTGGTGCCTAGGGCCGGTGCGTGGGTGGTTTCCTCCTGCTCACGGTAGCTGTCAGCTGCAGCTCTCCAGTCCCTGCCAGCAGCAAAGTCCCAGCCCCCGGAGCTGGGTGCCTTCCTGGAGTACAAAGAGGAGTAAAACAAATGTGGCCAGATCAGCTTGGTGACAGAAAGAGCAGATCAAAGGACATTATTTGCATAATGAAGGAGTGCTAATTGGGAGGGAAAGTCATTTGATTTCCCAGTGTCTAAGTGAGAATGACAAGTAATGAGAGAACTGCTCAAACTCTTGCTGAGTAGCTGGGACTGCTCTGCCCTAGGGCCAGGACAGCCGGTTTGGATAGTGACAGCATAAATGCTGCTCGAGTTGGAGAATAGTTGTGTTAGGGTGGATTGAAGGTCTCTTTCTTCCAGGATCTTGTCCTGACAGTGGCCAAAGAGTGGGCGCTTGTGGGTGCGTTAGGAACAGACTATGCATCTGTGATGCTTTTCTTCTCCCAGCCAGCAGTCAGCTTCGGTTTGGGAATTTGCTGAGCTATATTTGCTTTTCATAGATTCAGTGAATATCAATATCTTTGTCGTTTGTGAACTTATCCACACTCACCTTAAATATCTGCAAATGGGAAAGGAAAAGTTTGCAAGAGGAGACTTGGAGCCGCAGAGAAGGCGGGACAGAAACCACTAGGGATGCAGCCACCTGCCTGGGAGCTGCGGGAGCTTCACCTTGTAATAGGAGATGCTAAATTTAGATGTGTTTTGGGCTCCCTTCTGGAGCTCCCTGGGGTCTGCTCAGCTGCAGTCTGCCGCACACGGGCGTGAGCATCCTCTGTGCTGCCTCCTGCTTGAGTTCCGCTGAGAGCAGAGCGGGTGCTGCAGCTCTGAGCTCGTCTTGGGCTGACCGGCGAGCAGGCAGCAACGGATGTGGTGGGGAAACACGTGTCCTTTCATCTGTACTGTGTTCCTCCCTTGCTGCATTTGCTCTCCTTATTTCTGTGTAGCACCAAGTCCAGATTAGAGATGATCTGGCTGTGCAGACAGAAACTTGGGGTCAAGCTCTGACTCCAGCACAAAGCTGGCTGAAAGCAGAAGTGATTATTGTGGAGAGAAATTGTTTAATCTCCACACTGGAAATAGAAAAAGACTCGTTTAACATGCAGCCAGAACATTCGTAGGCAGCCTGATGGGTAGATTTCTTTAATAGAAAGTGCTAAAGTTGGAGTGTGTATCTGGGAAGGACTGGGGTAGCAAGCAGCCAGGAGGCAGCCTGGCCCTGCCCGCTGGCCCTCGTGGGACCCCCCAACCCTTCTGCGCTGTGCTGTGTATCACGGGGTAAGGTCTGGAGTCCCTGCTGACCCTCTCCTCCAGAGACCGTGCGCAGAGCCCCCACGCAGTGGGTTTTTTCCCCTGACCATACCTGCTTGGTGCTGGGAGTGCAGGAGTGTCTCTTCTGGTTGGTGTCTGCCAGACCTCCCCAAGGATGCTCCCTCGTGTGTTTTTGACTGCCATAGCCAGATTAGCTCCCCGGGGTTTGTCCTGAGGGGTGTGAGAGCTCTGCAGTGAATTCCCCCGGGGTCCGGCCTGGCTTTCTACCAAGTCAGAATGTTCCTGAAACTGCAGGAAGCTCATTTCTGCTCTAGTAATTTTTAAGCTGCCCTGGTTTGTTTTCCTCCCTAGTGTTCTGCCTGCCTGCTCCTGGGGTGCACCAGATGCTGTGTGAAGGTTGATGACTTGATTGTTTGTAAAGTCTGAGTAGCCCCCGCCATAGCACCCAGGCCTCGAGGTGGGAGCCCCGAGCTCCAGCACCAGTGTGGGATGTGTGGCTCTGCCTGACCAGACACTGCTCTCGGGCTCCTTTGTGTTCCATGGCGATGAAATGACTCATAGAGTTGGCAAAAGACTTGCACAGCAAGGTGGTGCCTGGCTCTGAGCAGGGATAGAGAGTCCTTCAACCTGGGACAGTGCCCTGAGCCTCTGAACAAGTGCTGGAAGTGGCCCTGGCTGCGTTCCCCCTGCRGGAGCGTGGCTACTTGGGCTGAATGCAGGTTTGTTAGGATTTTCCCAAACTGAGGAGTGCTCAGCCTCATCAGAGGAATAGGAAGGAGTATCAGGCTGGTGCTGCCCACTGAGAGAGGCTTTCCTTGCATCCTCTCAGGATCAGCACTGGTCAGTGCTGCTGCCTGTGCGAGGTCTGTGCCCCTGCTGAGCTGGGGGCATCCTGGTGTGTTTGCCTGCCAGGCACTGCCTCTGCTCTGTGTGCAAGGTGTTGGAGCATATCTGTGTTTGCAGCCATTTCAGGACCCTCTTCAGGGCTCTGTGCTCAGAGGCTGCTCTGAAGGGGCGTTGCACTGGCTGTGACTTGGAGATGGTTTGGAAAGTGGTGGGAGGCTCTGGCGTGTGCTGGGAAAGAGATGGGAGCTGCAGGTGAAGAGGTAATGGCCAAAGCCAACACGCGTTGTCTGCTGCTGCTTGTTTACCTCTTTGCAGGCCTGCAGCCTGGCTGTATTTCTGTCCCTAGGGAAGTGACAGATCCCTTTGGCTTGCTTGTAGATTTTCTGCAGGGTCTCTTTGCTCTTGGATGTGTTTAGAGTTTGCCTGTTGACATTTATTTTAGCTAAAATGGTCTGGAGTGAGTGGCATAGTAAGTGGTCTGGAGCCATTAGCCTTCTGTGTGCAGGTGGAGAGCTGCCTCCCCCGGTCCCTAGTAGGAAACTGGCTCCCAGGGGAGCCTAGGAATGGTACAGGAGCCAAGGGAAGTACAGTGTGGCTATGGCCAGCTGTGCCCGCAGGCGCTGTGTGCGGGGCACAGCGCTGCATGCGGGCATGGTGCCGCTCCAGCCCTGCGTAGCCCTGCTCCATCCATCCAAGGCGCTAGGGCTGCCCACCCCGGGGCTCGTGGCAGCGATGCGCAGCCCGGTGGCGCCGGCAGCCGTGGTCTGTGCCCTGCCCGCAGGTGCACTGCTGGGCACCAGCGGGGCTGCTTCCTCCTGGAAGGCAGGGCCTTGGCCGGGGCTGCAGTGGGAAATGCTCTTTGATGTGCTCTGCTGGGCTGCACCTTTGCAGAAGGAGAGTAAAAGGCAGAGCCTGGCAGCCTCATTAATTTTTATGTAAAATTGTTGGTTGCCTCTGGTTTCTTGGGGTCAGCTGGTGGGGGGGAAGAGGGAAATAAGATCTTTCTTTCTCTTTTCATGTCTAAATATTTCTTTGGGCATGAGCTCAGGATCCCTAGTTAAGGGGTGTGGGTTATGCAGCACATGATGTTTAGATTTTATTTATTGCATCTTTTATGGCTGAGGCAGATGCCAGGAAAGTGCTGTACAGGCTGCACTGGGTGGGCAGCGCTATGCTTGGAGAGCAGGGACTAATAATGGAGCTGGCGTGGGAGCCGGTGTTCTGGGGTCCTGTAGGAGGAGGGGGCGAGGCCTTAGCAGTAAATTAGAATCTAGGACCTTGGAAGTAGGGTCCTGGGTTGCTGATGCTTGGGGGGCCTTGAGCAGGCTGCAGCATGGTGCCGGGATGCTGGTGTGTACAAAGGGAGTTCTTGGTGGCTGCCTGCCCAGTGCAGGAGCAGCGGGAAGGGGCAGAGCGCTCTTCATGCCAGGCTGGTGGCGTTGGCAGAGGCTGCGGGTACTGCGGGTGCCCGGCTGCTCTGCTGCTCTGGGGTTTCCTTTGCCGACAGCCAGGGCGCTGCAAGATGCGGCCCGAAACCGGGTGCAGGACCTGCCTGTCCGATGAGTGTCCTGTCTTCCCTGCCGTGCAGTGGTGTGCAGCGTTGGGTTGAATGCAGCATGGAGCGTTGCTGTGTGGCAGGGAAGGATTAGTGGGAAAACTGCGCAGTGCCTCAGGAGAGTGGGTCTGCAGAGAGGCAGCGTGAGGCACAAGGCTGGTGCACCCTTGGGCGGCACCCTTGGGTGAYGGCACTGCTGCGTCTGGCATGGAGGGTCTCCTACCAAGCCCTCTCTCCTCTGCTTGCTGTTGGGCTTCCCAGGAGCTTGCTGGGGCTCAGGGTAGGGATTGCAGTGCAGGTCTGGTGTGGGGGAATTGGGACTGCCTGGGGGCAGGAGGCCCCTGCAGAGCCTCGAGGAGGTGAGAAGGAGGCAAGGCCAGCATTTGGGTGCACAGCCTTGCTGAGAAGCAAGGCTGCTGGTGAGGCAGGAGGCTAGTGCTGTCTCGGCATAGTGGGGACGTGCCTGGCAGAGATGCGCCGTAACTTCACTGAAGACAGCGGAGCATAAATAAGTCGACTTGAGCCAGCTTGTTGCCGAAGACTGATGAGGGAGATTCTCGTGTTATCAGCAGAGCTGCAGCTCTGAGAAGATGGCCAGGAAGGATGAAAAGCAGCCATGGTAATAGCTTGCTGCTTTTCCAGTGAAAACCCTTTCCAGAATTCTGGATCGTGGGGGAGCATCCCTGCTGCTGGCAGCTGCACCTTTAGCGCTGCTGCCTCGTGCCTGCAGTGTGAGCCCAGGCTGGGCTGCTGCAGAATTGCCCTGGTCTCCTGGACTTGCTGGTGCCTGGACTGCCTGTGGGCTTGGGTCTGCAGAGGGGGCATAGGAAGGCACAAGGACCGGTTTTACCACTTTTCTTCATTTTCCCTGTGGGTGGTTTCAGCTCCCTTCCAGGCTGGTTATCTCTGAAGCACAATCTGCCTTTTGACTGCAGCTGCTTCTCTGGGATCTTGTTCTTTATAAATTACCACCTTATCAGCCCTTGGCCGTGGTAGTCTTCCATCCGGGACATTCACAGTTGGTTTGATGTTTACTACGAGCAATTCAGGGTTCATCTCCCACATCCAGCACCTCCTCCTGCTGCGGAGGTGACTGGTGCCAGACTTGTCCCCCAGGGCAGGGATGCTCTGAGTCTACATCTGGATAGGTGGGACTAGGCAGCTGGTCTCCATGGGCCACAGCATCTCTGTCCAGGGATACCTGGAGGCAGGAATAGGCTTTCTCTCCTTCCTCCCCTTCCTGTTCCTGCAGCTCTCGGCCCCTTTGCTCCCCGCCCCATTCTCATGTCCTGGGTCCTGCTTTTTGTCAAATTGAACATGATGTCAAATTAAAGCCATCACAGGAACAGGCAGAGTGAAGCACCCAGTTTAATGAGGCAGCGTTGAAAATCAATAACTTAATTGCAGTGGTTTGATGGACTTTTATCCAATTTATAGTTCTCCTGCCCTGCTACGTGTGGAGCATGAGGACGTGGTGCTGTGTCTGGCTCTGGGCAGGAGGCAGGTTCACCTCTCCTGGTCTCCAGCAGCTCCCTGTCTGCTGCACAGGTGGAGCTGGAGCTGGGAACAGATCCTGGCACCGGGTCCCTCYGTGGGCTGGAGTTGGCCGCACAACTTGTGATGGTCAGAGAAGGGGCAGACTGGTCACCAAGCCTCGAGCCTCGTCCCTGGGCCATTCCCAGATGGTCCCCAGCTGTTCCCCAGGACAAAAGGGCATTTTTTGGTCATGTTTTGGGAGACCTGGTGCCGTGGACTCTGGGGCAGATGTTGGTGCACATACACACAGCTATTTGCTCACTTTTGTGAGTGAACACATGCTGTCGGCGTTGACACCTGGGTTTATGCTCTTGCTTCTTCCTGCTTTCATCTGTTTTCCTCTTGTCCCTGCTGCAGGCACATCCGTGATGCAGGTGATGGCATCAGATGCTGACGACCCCACGTATGGGAGCAGCGCGCGGGTGGTCTACAGCGTGCTGGAGGGCGAGCAGCACTTCACTGTGGACAGCAAAACAGGTGAGCAGCTTCCAGTGGGCACCGTGGGGTGGACGGGGCAGAGGTGGCGGGAGAGCAGGTCCTGGCCTCGCGCCTGCCCCTCCGCACTCGATGTGTGTGCCRGAGTCCTGCCCTGCACGCTTGTGCATTGGAGAGGAAGCGCTGAGCTCCGGCGGCAGCTGCCCCTGCATGCAGTGCCCATGGGAAGTGCCTGGAGCGGGACCTGCTCCCAGCACGGCTGCCCTGTTCCGCCACCCTCCGCAGCTCTGCTCATTGCCAGGAGCAAATATGTGCCTGCCATAGGCACATAAAACCTCAATGTGAAAGGTTTAAATACTACCAGAGGGCCCTAACCAAAGGCCGCATTGTTATCACCAGGGCTTTGATTAAAGGTAACACTTTAAATTAAGGATTGGTTTATAAATGTTCTATTAATATTTAATGAAAGAACAGTAGAAACTCTTCTATTCCTTAATAACTTATAATAGAGCCTGTTGTAAAATGCATCTGTAATAAATCTCTAGCAGATGATGCTCTGACATACTGGTTAGAGTAGACCATAACCAGGAGATGTTGGGGTATATATTCTCCTTGCCTCCCAGGAGTGTGACTCTCATTACCTTTAATGTGAGTCTTGCAAGCTTGCTAGGGAGGGAAGACACTCAAAGGCTAATAAAGGTATTTAAGGCACAAAGCATGCAGTAAAGTACCCAGAGTTTAATGATAGTTGTTGAAGGACAAGCTTGCTGGGCCGCTGCCGTCCTTTTTGGAAAGTGGGTGYGTGATGTACCCCCACTCTGTGCTGAGCCTTGGTGGTGTAGGAACATAGCCTGGATGCCAGATCTGCCAGACTGACCCGTGTCTGTGCTAGCAGTGATTTTTCCAGTCTATATTTWTGTAGGTAAGGGTGAAATGAATTCAGAGGCCCCAGGGTATGGAGACCGGGGCAGGTGCGTGTGCCTGAGCCTGTGCGTCTGTGTGAACGCAGGCGTATCCTGATGCGCAGGCAGGCGGGTCACAGCTCAGCCTGTCACCAGTGCTGCTGCTGCCGGAGGAGGGCTGGAATCTGGGACAGCTTCTGGGCACAGCTGGCACCTGTGCAGAGTACCTGGTGGAAAACAGCGTTTTCTGGTCAGAGGCTGGTGCTGGGGGGGCACGTGTGAAGCAGGCTGCACTGCTCTGCCTGGCCGGGGGCTGCCCTGCAGCCACTGTGCTTTCTGCTCAGGTCTGGACTGTTTTATGTTAAAAAGTGGCAGTAGAGAATGACAGGTAAGCACTGAAAATTCGCATCCAGGTGGGATCTTGTTAGTCTGAGACTGTGTGGAAGCCTGGAACTGGGCTGCCGGGATGAGGAGGCTCCATTAAGAGCACGTGCAAGCCAGGACATGCTGAAGCCGGGCTTCCTGCAACAACATTAATGCTGCCGTATTAGGATATAAACTAAAATATGCCCCRTGAGCTGCTCTGTGAGTTATTGTTGCTCTGTGGATTCAGGCTTCTTGATTCCTTGACTTCTTGTGTCTTAATTCTCAAGCTGCCTGTTCCTTATGCAGGGGCCTGACTTGATTTACTGTTCTACTTGCTTTAATGCACAAAAGCGACACCACTGACAGGCTGCAGAGGAGCCTCGGCCCCTCTAAAGCAGGTCTGTGCGYGGGATATAAAGCAGGTGTGGTGCCGTGGGCAGCCTGCAGCCTCCCTGCGCGCGGGAGCAGCGCCCGCGGGCACAGCGGGATGTGCTGCAGTCGTCCCAGGGGCTGCGCTAGGCAGAGCCAGCACTGCCRGCAGCAGCAGGGGTTCCCTCAGCCCCTCCTGCCTTGGTGGCAGCTGGACAACGGAGCATCCGCTGGAGCCAACCCCGCTCCATTCCCACCGTGCACTTGAAYAGGTTCTTGTGCTATGCAGGAAGCCTGGCTTGCCCCCCTGCCTCAGGTGGCCCAGCTTCTGCCCTGAGCATAAGATTTAATTATCCATAGCAGCAGCATAACTCTCGGAGCCACCGTTGTTATTAATGGCCATAAAAAGAACCATAAAAACCTGGCGTGTTACATTTCTTGTAATATATGATAATGAAGAAACATTCATTTCCCCCTCTTGGCTTTGACCTGCTTTTTGCCTGTTCTTGCACATGCATGTGCTCCTTGTAGCTCAGCTAAACCTGTAGCTCCTTTCAGCTTAGGTTCTTCGCCTTTTTAACTGGGTCTTTCACATTGTTCTTTGTAGCGCAGGTGTTGCCCGAGTGTGACGTGCACTGTGGTTGCTTAGTCTGTCCTCCAGTCTTGGCTGTTGCTAGCTGGAGTATTCAGCTGGGGTTTTGGGCTGGGTAGAACTTCCAAAGGCAGCATCCAAACTGCACGGCTGGAAGGACATGCTGCACATAAGTCCTGGGTATAGAGAAGATGGAGCAGGACTCTGCTCAGTGGTACACAGCCAAAGGACACAAAATACAGCAAGGGAGATAACTGTTGGACATAGAGAATATTCTTTAATACAGAAGTGCTGCATCTCTATCCTTGTATATGGTCAAAATCCAGCTGGGCATGATCTGGAGTAATTGGATATACTGTTAAACATAGACTATTCTGAACTGTGGTTAGACAAGACATGTCCCGAGGTTCTTCCATATGTGCGAGTCCCTTATTGTGGTAGCTTTGCACTGCACTGGTGGGGCATCATGGTTGTGACTCCTCTCAGCTGGAATGTGCTTTGTCTGGAGGGTCTCCAAGGATGCAAACTTAGGAGCTGGAGGGATCTAAAAGCAGAGTAAGCCATTAATGATGGGATTCCCGGAAGGCAGTTACCTGCTGAGCACTTTGTCCGGCTTTATTTTTATAAGCCAACAGTGTCTGCTGTTGAGCAGATTTGCTGGTATTTGTGTGATGCTGTGAGTGTCCCCTTGCCTGGTAATTACACTCTGATTAATCTGAATCATGCTGGAAAACCACATGTGCCTTGTACCAGAGGGGATGCCATCGTGTGTATGTATTATTCAACTAAAACAGATGCTGTCAAAAAGTAGGAAGGTCTGAGTTGGAGGTGGTTCTTGCTGTGCTGGCAGTGTCCAGGAAGGGCGGAGTTTGATTTTTCTGGTTGGAAGGAAGGTGAATTTGTTCATCTTGAGAGATGGTGGCAGAAACTTCTGTGTTGTGCCCAGGGCTGTGCAGGTCCCTCCCTGCCTCTTCTGTCTCTGTGCCAGGAAGGGATTTGCCACCATTTGCTGCTGCTTTTGCAGAGCTCCTGGGGCTCAGGTCTGGGAGCAGAGGCTCGTCTGGCTCCAGGAGATGAGACTGTGGGTTTGGTGCCGGCGGCTGTTAGTGCTGAGCCTCGCGGCACCACGAAGGAGGGAACGGGGTGGAGCGGGTTTGACTTGCTGAGGCCCTGACCCTCAAGCCTGCAGCCTGGGGTGCCCCGAGTGACTTCAGAGGGAACAACTGCCTGGGTGACAGTCCTGCTGCTCCCACAGAGGCTTGGGACAGGGAGTCGTTGGTACGAGTCCCCTGTTTTTCTGGGGTGCCCATCTGTGCAGGAGGTGGTGCCTGCTGCCAGGCTGCTCCAGGCTGGGTGTGATCTTGTGTCCCCGTGCGCTGGAAGAGCCACATGCAGCAGCTGGGACTCTCAACTGCCATGTTCTGCACGAGCCACTTGGCCTGGATGTGCCCCAGGGACAGGTGACCTTGGAGGTGCTCTGGGAAGTGCCTTAGCGCTCTCCTCCCTTCTTGCACGGGGTATTACAAGCTATATCATTATGAGTCGCTCCACTAAGTCATTACAACCTTAGTGAATACATGAGCTTTATCCTYCTCATCCCAATTCATCACTATTGTGCTGACATGAATAATTTTTATTATAAAATGCTTCAGACCTTGTTAATTAACAGAATTGCTTAAATTTCACCGAGATAGTTCTTGCCCAGAAATAACAGTTTTATATTCATAGCACTGTCACAGGAGGAGCCTGTGAGCACAATGAGCTGGGCCAGCCCTGTGCAGCTGCAGGCACAGGGTCCTTGTGCAGGGCCCTGTCTGCCTTCCCCAGGCTGCTTCTCGCCAGGATGTGTCCTGGAGGTACCTGCACCCGTTGCTGCAGCACTGCAGCCTGTGTGCACCAGGAGGGCTAGGACTCCTAATTCTGCGACTTGTGAGCAGTCCTGGGGGAGCAGGGGAGCCTGCACAGACCCTGGCCCCACCATAGGGTACCCAGTACCCCCGACTGCCCTAAGGGGTTGCGGTGCTCCCTTAGAGAGGAGTTTTGCAGTGTGGGGGCACAGATCTGTGTGAGTGATGGACTGGGGCCATGAGCCGCCCCAGCCCATGAAGCTGGAAGTGCAGGAAGGACGAGGCACAAGGCAGAGCTTCCTGATTCATGGGACTGAAGTCAGTGAGAGCCCAGGTAATGGCAGAGCTGGAATGACAGAGGAACCAGGGGAGCTGGGTGAAATTGTGCCTATCCGCAACAGCCAGGGAGCTGCAGGGATCCGAAACAGTGGTGATGTCTTCATAATAAATTCTAACAATGATAATCGCTGGAATAATTGCTAGTTTCAGAAAGCGAGGAGAGATAAATGTCTCCAGAACTGTGCTGCCAGCTTCTGCTGCACCTGTAATGTCATGACAAAGAGAGAAATTTCCCTGTTCCTCCCAGCCCCTTTGAGCTCCGGCACTGGTRAGGCCGAGGTGGAAGAGGTCGCTCCAGATGAGTGCAGAGGCAGTGGCGCTGGTTCCTCGGAGCCCCTGGATGTGTCCCCAAGGCCCCRTCTCCCCTCCTTGCAGCGGCCAGAGGAGGGGGCTCCGGCCGCTGCGGGGGCTGCTCTGCTACACACAGGCTGTGCTGGGCATTTCCAGCGGCATCTGCACGGAGCCCACCCGCTCTTCTTGGGGTGCCTGGTAGCGCAAGGGTGATACTCTGGGTCTGTGGGGCGCAGGAGCAGCTCCTCACCAGAGCCCTGCCCTGGAGCCCACCCGCCGCAGCAGGGCAGCCCCTGCAACCTCCTCCCTGGCGCCGGGCAGGACTGCGGGTAGAGAAAAGCAAGGATGGACGGTTGTTGATCGCAATAGAGAAGGTAGAACGGGTAGCTGAGCAGCAAAGCCTGCAAGAGCAAACAACTGTGAGAAAAAGAAAGCTGTCTAAACATGTGGGAGACTCAAAGTGAGCTGGAGGAGAGTTCAAAGTGATTCCTAGCTGATTTGGGATGCTTCTAGGTAATGCGGAGTGGGAATGTGCTGCTAATGATGGCACATTCATATTGCTGTATCATTGCCCTGCGCGGTGCCACCGGGGCAGGTGGCACCCTTTATTTGTGCCCAGAAGTTTGTTTTCTGCTTTGCTCCTATGCAAATGGGTCTGCCCCAGCTAGCAGAGAAGTCACAACTTCTGCCCTTCAAGGGGCTTTTTCTGGGCTTTACAATGCTTTCTTCCAGGTCTCGCATCCCTTTGTTTTTGTAATCCTAGTCATTCTTTCAAGCCCAGGTAACTAAAGACCTGCGCTAGGGACTTTTGTTTTACTGTTGTCCTTCATAAAGAGAAGGTTTAGTGCCATGCTTTTAAGCTTTGTGGTCTCAAGAGAGGAGAAAAAAAACAAATGGGGGGAGACAGAGGTGGGAAAAAGGCATCCTCAGCTCTTTAGGCTGTCCCAGCAAGCAGATGCTGGGGCTGGGCGGGTGCAGGCCGGGAGGGCCAGGTCTGCTGTGTGCCCCTGCCTGCCCCAGCGTGGTGGTTGTGCTGGGCCATGGGGACCCTGAGCTGCTGTGTCCTCTGTGCGCCTTGCCTCAGTGGCAAGGAGAGCGGGGCTGGTGCCTCCCAGGGCTCAGCTGGGGCTCTTGCACCTCCATGCAAACCTGCAGCCCTGTTCAGGGGGCACTCTGACGTGCCCGGGCTCACGCTGTCCTCTGCTTTGCAGGTGTGATCCGGACTGCGGTGGCTGACTTGGACCGCGAGACGCAGGACCGATACGAGGTGGTGATCCGAGCCACAGACATGGCGGGACAGCTGGGTGGCCTGTCGGGATCCACCACGGTCACCATTGTGGTCACCGATGTCAATGACAACCCGCCACGCTTCCCACAGAGTGAGTCCTGGCATGGGCCGTGGTGCCGCGGGTGAGACTGGAGACCCCGGCCTCGTGGGGAGCCCCCGGTGGGTCTGCAGCAAGAGCTGTCCCCATGGCCAGCAGCCCCCATCCCGGGGACGTTCCTGCTGCAGCCCCCGTGCGGCCCCTGACCCGGCAGTGCTGGGGACGGAGCCACCCCAGGCCAACCCTGCAGCCCCCGGGCACGCGCCTGCTCCCCGTGCAGGGCTGGGGRCCACGGGGGCACGAGACGAGGAGAACAGGGYGGCCCTGCCTGCTCCCCGTGCCCCYGAGCAGCACAGGGAGGGACACAAGTCTGAGAGGCTTCGGCAGCACCTGCTCCAGCTCCTGTCCCTCAGGAGCCTGGGCAGGGGCGCCCAGTGTCTCTAGGCTGCTGCTTGTGTCGCTCGAGCGTGATGCTCTGCATCTCCAGACAGCAGAATGGGCACAAGGCAGCTCTGCTTCCCAGGCCACGTGGTCCGTGTCAGCTGCAGAGCCTGGGGCACTTATTGGCATTGTGCAAGGGCAGAGCCGCAGCTGGAAGGGGCTGTTGGCCCAAGGGCTCCTGGAAGTTGGAAGCGGTAACGTTTGCCAGGAGCCAGAGAATGTGCCAACCAAAGGGTAGTGCCATGTATAGGAACCTGCCCTTTCTCTGACGGAAAACCCCTTTGCTCCCATCTGCACCCTCATTTCTGCCTGGGGTTCATGGTTTCCTCCAGTGGGGTGCCCAGGGTGCAGGTACTTGAGGCTCAGGCAGCTCCTGGGCAGCTGGGCAGGGCAGCACCAGTGGCAGCGGATTGGGTAGGGACACCAGTGCTCTCCCCTCTCTAGAGATGTACCAGTTCAGCGTGGTGGAAACCGCCCCTGTGGGCACCGCCGTGGGGAGGGTGAAGGCAGAGGACTCGGACGTCGGTGAGAACACGGACATGACATACCAGGTGAAGGACGAGGAGGGGGTCGAGATGTTCAGGGTCACCACAGACAGCAACACCCAAGAGGCGGTGATCATGGTGCAGAAGGTGAGTCACGGGGAGGGGGTTTGGGAGAGAAGGGAAGGCTCCGTGAGGACTCTGGTCCAGTTGCAGCATTCAGTAGCAAGAGCCCCCAGCGCTGCCCTGGCTACTGCCCTCGGGCACTGCAGCAGCAGGAGCCTCTCCCTGTTCTGGCTCTCCAAGAGCAGATCCGAGCTGGAAGGGAGCAGCAATTCGGTGCTGGCACAGCTCGGCGCTGTGGCCACCAAGTGAGCAGCGCATAGGTAGAGCTGTGCACGGTGCTATGGAGACTAGTGCTTACAGCTGGGCTTGACAGCACTGTTAGGAGGAGAAATATGCCCACCTAATTCCTATCCCTGATCAACGGCACTTTGAGTGCATCTGCTCTTGGTGGCAAACACAATCAAGCAAATACTTGATGCAGGCAAGGAAGAATGATTGTTCACCAAGGCTGTGGCGCTCAGCTCGCCTCCCTGCGGAAATGATCACGGGGTGATTAATGATAAGGAGCTGCTCACTTGCCTGCGCACAACTTGCTTGTGCCCGGTGCATGTGGCCGCTGCACCCTGTGCTGCTGGGGTGCCTGGCCGCATGTGGGGACAGTTGGAAGCCGCTGTCCCCTCCTGCACTGCTGGGTCTGGGGCAGAGCAGCAGTGTGGGGACTCCCAGGCTCCCTGGGGGGTTGTTGCAGGCAGAGGGCTGAGCCTGCATGATCATCTCCCTTGGTCTAGCCTCTGGACTACGAGTCCAAGAAGGTGCACACGGTCGTGGTGGAGGCCCTCAACAAGTTTGTGGACCCGCGGTTCGTGGACCTAGGCACCTTCCGTGACCAGGCCATCGTGCGGGTGTCGGTGCTGGATGTTGATGAGCCCCCCGAGTTCCGGCCCCCCTCCGACTTCATGGAGGTGCAAGAGGATGCGCATGTCGGCTCCATCGTGGGGGTGGTCACCGCGCTCGACCCGGACGTGGCCAACCACCCCGTGCGGTAAGCAGCGGTGCCGGCGCAGGGCTGGGGTGGGTGAGTCACAGGGCGCGTGAGGGTGGCTGGTGCTGGGAGACAGGTCCCGGGGGAGCAGGAGCCAGTGCGCAGGCAGCAGGCGAGTGAGAGCGGCTGCCTCACGGTGACAGATGCGTCACCGGCGGTGATGACTTGCGGATGGCAAGGGAGCGATGGAGAGGGCGCCATGCGGCACCCGCGCGTCCTCGCTGCTGACAGCGAGCTGCGCGTGGCCCGAGCAGGAGTGATGGGGCAGCTTGAGGAGCGACACGCGGGAGTTCGGGGTGCAGCGTGTGCGTGCGTGTGCACTGGGATCAAAGGCCAGAAGAATTTATATTTGAGCAGGGGACATAATCCAGGCAGCAGCTTATCTGCACAGGACATTTCCCATTTCCATTTAATTTGTGGCTAAGGAGATTGTTACCTTGTTAAACTGTTATTACCTGAGGCACAAAGCAGCCTTCTGGCTCTGCCAACTGGACTGAGTCATGAGCAGTTGGAATGAAAAGCTGGTATTCAGAAAACAGCCTCAACGTGTGGAAAATTTCCTTCAAACGCTGTGTGTTCTTGTGCCAGGTGACAATACGGCTGCAGCCACCTTGTGTGTGGCTGCTGGCTTCTCATGAGCTGCACGGGCCCTGCCTTCGAGCTGTGCGTCGAGACTGTCCTCACAGCGATGGGCTGGGCTAGAGAGGGAGCGGGGGCATGGGGCAGAGGAGGACGTGGGTGGATAAGGGCAATGCGGGCTGCCGTCGCAGCACTTGGTGCACTGCACGTGTCCTGTCGYGCGGCATGGCGAGCGCGCGGGCTCAGCTGGCCAGGGGGGCACCTTGGACGTGCGCAGTCCTCACATCTGTGTGCCAGTGTGTGTGTGTGCACATGCCTTCTCACTTGAACATTTCTAGCAATGCTGAAGAATATAGATTTTATTTTCTGATCTATAATTGTAGGAAAGGGGCCTTGGGGACAGCACTATTCTTATTCTCGTTCTCTCTTGTTTTTCTTGTTGCTTCCCTGCGGAGCTTGTTGCATTGTTKGCAGATGGAACAAAGGGAAGCAGAGGAGGGAGGCTTTCTGCTGCTGTGCAGAAGGTGATATTTGAAACAGGGACTTGAAGCAGAGAAAGGCAGTTTCAAGTGCACAGCAGGATCAGGAGGGTTAGAGCCCAAATTTTACCATGCGAGTATCTCTGCCCTGCAGTAGGCTGAGTTCCAGACAAGGTGATATCTTGTGTGCTCAGGCACGAGGATGCAGTTAGCAAGGCTCCCAGGTGCGTGCTGCAGCTTGGGAATTGCAATGTGTTTTCCCTTGCTGGACTCAAGGCATTCAGGCACGTGTCTTCCCTGCGGCAATCCCCAGGCAGGCAGCTCCTCCTGAGGCCCCTCACCCCTGTGGTCTCCGTCTGTCTGTCCCTCCACTCGCCTCTCACAGTGTCTGTTGTGAGTAGTGGCACCTCTGTCCCTTCCGATGCTTTCTGGCGCTCGCTGGGGTCATGAGCTGTCCTGCGTTTTAACCTGTCCCAGGCAGAGCTGCAGGCTCCCAGGGAGGATGAGCYACAGCCAGGGATGGCACTGCTGCAGCACCAGTGCATGAGAGGTGCTGCTGGACCCCTACTGCTTCCTGGTGGCCTGGCTCGCAGGCAGATTAATAAAATACCACTGAGACAGCTCTTTGCAGTTTCAAAGTGCTGGGCAAATATTAACGCAAGCATCTGCAGCACCCTGCTAGGATGCGACATTGCCCGGCAGCAGGAGACAGCAGCAAGTCGCAGCATTTTAAGTGTGTTCCTCAGAAGCGCAGTGCTGAGGAGCCAGCCCTCGTTCCTCACCTGTGACATGTTAGAGAGCGGCTCGTCCTTACAGCATGCAAAGCTTTGATCCTCCACTCTTGAAGTTGTTTGAACCCTTTCAAGTCGCTGCGGTTCAGCAGATCCCTGTGACTCCCTGCTCCTGGGTGCTGGCAGTGGCAGCAGAGACATGTCCCCRTGTCCCCGGGGCTGCCGTCTCCTGGGCGCCTGCGTTGGCGCCGCAGTGGGAAGAGCCCCGACCCGGTGCCACRAGGGGCATGGGGAGAACGCACGGATCTGCAGAGAGGAGCAGTTCGGCTGTCGGCGCTTCCAGTCCTCCTGACGCTCCACAGAGGAGGTATTTTTAGCTGAGTGGGGAAGGAGGTGCCCTTGGCTCTTCAGTCCTCCTCCGGAGAGGTCCGTGTGCTCCTGCTGTCCGTCCAGCCTGGAAGTGCATTGCAGCCTGGTGCCCAGTGCTGCCGGAGCAGCCCTGAGCTTGGCCCTGGGGAGGGGGCATCGTCCCTCCTTTGGGAGCCAGCCAGGAGTCCAGCGTGGCCCTGGGGCTGCTGATTCTCAGGACACAACACCCTGGGGCACGGGCAGAGAATGCCTTTCCACAGGAGTAGGTCTTTCCATTTTATTCCCTCCTTATTTGCTGCCTAACAAATGTTTGGAACTACTTTTTTTTTTCTTTTTTTTCCCCCCTCTCTCTCTCCAGAAAGAATGTGGCTTCCAGTTGGCTTTTTGGCTTTAGCTGATATTTGCAGGGCATAGTGTGGTTTTTCTCAGCCGAGCCATTGTACTAAGCAGCATGCTGGCAGCGGCTGTGTACGTGCAGCTTCTTGTACGGGAGCCTTTTGTTTTTTTCCTGCAGTGAGAGCAGGGACTCCGATTGCACGTTCCTGGCTTTATCAGCACTGGGAAGATGTTGCTTGGGATTTAAGGTTCTCAGAGATATTCTTGTTTGGCATTCACCAAATCCTGAGACATGTGTTGGACACGGGCATTTCATAGACTCCAACAGCACAGCAAGAACTACAACCTGCTTCAGCACAAAAGGGGAAAAGAGGGAAAAACAAACATAACAAAAAGCTTTTCACACAGTGTTTGAAAGGCTTCCTATTAACAAAACACATGGCAGAAAATGTGCTCCTTGCTGCATTCAGGGGAAGTGAAACAAACTGCTTGAGAAGTAGATTCACGAGAAAGATGAGAACCAAGAAAGCTGTCTAAATTAAACAGCCGCTTGTAACATCCAATCCAACGGGCAGTGCCAGCAGGAAGAGAGGAAAGCGGATTACAAAGTCCGCATCCCAATGAGATGCAGGACTGCAGCTCCAGGTAGGGAGCGCTAGTRGCTTTAGGAGCAGCCTGTGATTGCCCTGTCCCGAGTGCCCAAGGATCTTGGTGGATAGCTGCGGCCTTGGCCAGTCGAGGAGCGCTCGGGAGCTGCTGGAGGCCCGGCTGCTGCTGGTGGCCAGCACAAGCTGTGCTTGATAAAGGTCACCCTGTACAAAGCTACCTTAGCAAAACAGGACTYGGTTTATTGTTGTGCACAGTGGTGTGGAGCAGGTTACAGCCACTTTCTGGGAGGCACAGACGGGTGTCCCTGCCCCAGGTCAAAGCCAGTGCAGTGCTTCAGAGCCTTCCCAGCAGCTCGAGTGGACAATCCTTCCCTGAAGGCTGTGCCGTGTCCTCTAAAGCCATTGGGCAGATACTACCCTGGTTGTGTTCACTCTTTAGCCAGGCTGCATATTCCTCTGGCATTTCTGTATGTATCTAGATACTTCTGCTCCGTTGTGMTTGCTTCCTACTCGATAAGCCTAAAGCCCGTGCATCTTACCTGAGGCAAGTCCCTGATACCAATTTCACCTACTCCTAGAATCGGCTGTGGCTGAAAACTCTTTTCTGAGTGGAGTCTTTCCCATCCACTGTGAAAACTGAGCATGCCTTGATGGTCACAACACCTGCAATGGCTTCATGGTGTCTGGCATAAGGATCTCCCCAAAGCCACTTGGTGCTGTGCTGCATCCAGCCCTGGCTGGGGTACGGAGCCTCCCCTTGCAAACCCGAGTGGTCCTTCCTGTGTGCACACTCGTGTGCACAGTGCTGCAGCTCCAGGATTCGGAAATGTCCATGGTGAAGCACAGGCTGCATCCAGAGCATGGGGACCTGTTGTCACTCCTGATCAGCAGGAATGGGATAGACTCTGATATCTCCCATCAGTAACTGGCTTTTCCTGTGTAGCTATTTTTATTGGATGCATCTMTCTGTATACAGGGAAGACACGAGCGTGAGAAAGCAGGCGTGTTATTACCCAAGAAGCAGAGGCGCAGATGGAGAGTGAAGTACCATCTTGAACTCTTAACAATACAGAAATGGGAAGGAAGAAGGGGATGTGCCAAAGGTCAAGGGATGTGGGAGGGCACTGGAAGCAGTTGCATACACATCAGTTATGCATTTGGAAGGATGCAGGTTTTGTCTTCTGTTCTTGCTGCAGATATTGGGATGATTTGCACAAGCCCTGGTCTGGGCTCCTCTCTGCAGGTCAGAGCATGTGAGCTGTGGCCTCTGCTGGAGCTGCTGCAGAGGCTGCATTGCGGAGGGGGGGCTTGGGCAGAGGGCAACAGGGATCACAAGTGCTTGGCATGTGGCCCAGGGCATCTGACTCGCACCCAGCTGCAGGGCTCGTCCTGTCTCGTCATGGGGAGTGAGGCAGCTGCCCGCAGGGATGGGGATGCTCTTTTGTGCACTGGGAGGGTGGTTTTTTTTTGATAGCAATTTCTGAGCCTTTTCCCTTTACCTAAGGGTGGTGGAGGCAGCTGTTTCCCGCTTGGAGGGAGCAGCTGTGTTTGTGGGCGGCCCCGGGGCTGCGGAGCAGGGCTGTGCTGGGCTGGATCAGGGGCTCCCGTCAGCCCAGGCATCCCCTGGCCCGGAGCTCGTCCTGCTTGGCACCCTTATCTGCTCTGTCCTGCAGTGCTTTCCTGCCTTGTTGACTCTGCTGTTTGGCCCGTGTTTATCTGCCTTGCGCTCATGTCTCTGATGGAAAGCTGTCCTTCGTGCACAGCCCTCCTCTTGGTAATTCATCCCTTGTACTCCTCACTGTCTTGGGTTATTTAATTCCACGAGTGCTCTGGATGCAGCACAGGCAGGAGACACGGCACACAATAGTGTTGCGCTGTATTGTTTGTGGTTTCTCGTCACACTGGGCTTCTGGTGCTGTTTGCAGTGGTGGTGCAGGCACACGTGCTTGTGCCACAGCCGCGCTTGGGGCCCTCTTGGGCCCTGGCCTCCAAGATGTATGGTCCAGTTGTGCTGGACTTGATGCCAGGCGCTGTTGGGACCGTGCGGGCAATGTAGAGTCAGGCCAGCCCTGGTCCCCAGGGCCGTGCTGTCACCCCCGCAGCTGGCGCGGGAGCTGCGCTCTGCAGAGCGGCTGGAGGAGACGTGGGGCAGCTGGGGGGGCTGCGAGCTGCGCGTGGTGCTTCAGTGAGCCTGGAGCGCGGGGATCCCATCCTGCTGGGCCTGGTGTCCCCCTTGTGCACCAGAACCCACCAAAGCTGCCATTAGGAGAGGGCTTGGGTGGACGAACTGGCCCTTGGTGCACCGGGCTGGTGGAGGAGCGGAGTGCTGGGCTGGGCTGGCACCTTCACTCGCCCACAGCTCCCTCTTGCCTGGTGCCAGGTACGCCATYGACCGCAGCACTGACGTGGAGAGGATCTTCGACATCGATGCCAACACAGGGGCTATCATGACGGGGAAGGTCCTGGACCGCGAGACAGCCGGCTGGCACAACATCACCRTCCTGGCCATGGAGGCAGGTGAGGGGGAGCATGCGGGGACAGCTGGTCCAAGCGGGACACAGTGGGGACGTAGTGCTCTCACTGTGGGGGTGACCAGGGTGCGAGTGTTCCTTAGCACCGAGCGGAAGAAAGYGCAGAGATGTTGAGTCCAGCATCTCCCTAGACAGCCTGAAAACACTGCTCCCAGACTGCGTGTTAATAAGGGCATGTAGTTGGGTAGTATCTCTGAACACTAATCAAATACTGGCGTTATCTGTGTACCAGCTTTGCCAGCCATCCCTGTGCTGCACACTTGCTGTGTCCTCCCCACAAGCTGCTCTGGGGCTCCGCGTGTCCCATAGCCTCCYGCTATGGTCCTGGGGGCTGTTTCTGTCCCCCGTGGCTGCAAGACCCTCTGTCTGCTCCTGTGGCCGCTGCTGGACGCGCTGGGTTGGGGAGCGGCTCGGGCAGCGGTGGCTCTTCTGCCCTGCGCCGATGCGCAGGTGCTGCCTCARCAGAGCTGCTTTCCCGCTGCAGCTCCGCTCTGCTTTCCAACTTCAATAAAAACAAGCGAGCTGGGGCTTGTCACCCATGGGAGCTTTTGAATAAACTCCTGGGGAGCACCAGGGAAGGAAGAGCTGGGGGAGACTTGGTTTTTGACAGGTTTCTGTGCAGGAGGCTGTGCCAGGCACGGTGCTGCTCCGGAGTGTGGGCAGCCCTGGCCCGGCAAGGAGTGGGCAGGGGCTCCTGGCCCATGGGTGCTCCGCTCCCCTACACGCGCTTCCCTCTTCCGAGGCTTGAGAGGGAGAGGTGCTTGTTGTCAGCTGGCACTTTGGGAGGCGGAGAGACCTGTCGCCTTCCACGGATTCTGCTGCTTCTAAGTGGAATCCAGCCACCGCCCTGCGGGGCCTGGTGCTGCCTGCGCTGCAGAGTGTCTCCAATTACTGGTGGGCACCGTCCAGGATGCTGCGGGCCGCGGTCTGCCAGGCTCTGCTTGGGGCGGCTCCTGGGGCTCCCGCTTCCCTTTGCTTCACTTGATCTCTAATAAGGCACCATCCATATTCAGGATGCCTGTGAACCGCTTGGCTCAGGGTGCAGCGTTCGGCTCCTTCCGCATCTTCCTGGCAGCAGGAGCGGGAGGGCTCGTGGCTGGGCAAGCCTGCRGCTCGGATGTCTCCGGCTCCCTGGCCTCGGCTGCGCCCGCTCTCTGCAGGTCTCCGGAGGTGCTTGGGTGTGTTGGTGTGGGCAGGTCATGCTGGGAGCGTGCGCGGAGCCCTGGAGCGTGTGCCAGAGGGCTCCCGCGCCGGCCGCGCAGGGAGGGCAGCCACGGCGCCATGGAACAGCTCAGCATCCAGAGCAAACACGAGGTGACAAGAATCAGAAGGAAAATATTCCTACGCAGCAGCTTGGATTTCAGAGCGAGTCAGTAAATGCTGTGGCTCCCCTGCAGCGGGGAGGCCTGTCAGCTCGCATCGCCTCGGCAGCCCGGAGATGCTTTAGTATTCTGACTTCTCCCGTCAGCCAGCTCTGACTCATCCATTTTAACTGCCCAGACATCCCTCCCAGTGACATTATCCTTAACGTTTTGTAATCATGAAATATTAATGACTGATATTGAATTTAAAGTGCAATTTATGTCTGAATACTCTAGTGGAAAGGGCACTTGTAAAGGTAAGGCCTTCAAAGTGATGGAGGTGTTGTGGTGCGGGGCGCCTGACATGTGTCGCTCTGCACCAGCGCCATGCAGCGATGGACGGAGAGGACTCTGCCTACGTGGAGGGCACATGGGCGCCTGGAGCAATGGGAGGAACCTGGGGCCGGTCCTCGGAGCAGGGCTGGGCTGCGTCTCCCCTTCCCCTGGGAGCAGCAGTGTCCCCGTCCCTGCTCCCTTGCAGCCAGCGGGAATCCTGGGGGCTGCTCGGCAAATCCAGGCTGGGTGCTGGCYAAGCGCTTCCAGAGATAAATCTTCATCTCTCCCCCAAGCTGTTTACCTTCCTTGGGCTAATATTAGTGATTCTCTTCCTGTTTTCCTCCTTGCTCATGTAAAATGATGAGGCCTTGACTGCTGTGTCCACTGCTGGTAATTGAGATGATAAATCTTCCTGCTGGAGCCTGGCTTTAATCAGAGCATTGTGTTTGGATGCGATTTAATGACTCTCCTGCTGCCGAGTTGGGGCAGGACTCAGGAGAGGTGAGAGCCGTTTATCCGATTCTTAGCTCGGCGGCTGCTCCTGCCTGGGCTCGGAGCCGCGTTCGTGCCCGCCGTGCRGCGGCGCCGGCCCTGCCCGCGCTGTCCCCCGTGCTTTGCTGCCGGGCGGCTGTGCCCATGCGTGCACAACCTGCCGCCTTTCACAGCCAGAGCCGGTACTGTGCGGCCTGGGACCCTCTGCTGTGTTTCCTTTTCTCGGTTTGTGGGGACAGGGCYCGCCCCGGGTCTCCTGGTGCTCTGCTCAGGCCATAGCCCTGGTTCAGYGGTGCACCAGCCTGATCCTGATGCAAAGATGCTCCCGTGCACCTTTCCCAATGCTGCTGCCGACACGCACAGCAACTCCCCYGGCTGCATGGGGCCACGGTGCGGATGTGGTGCAGCCAACCTCTCTCCCTGCAGACTCCAGGTTGGCACTCCTGTGCCCATCGCTCTGCTCCCAGCCAGCAGCTCTCCTTGGTCCCTGCCTTTTCCATGTCTCTTTCCTCAGTCTTTGCCGATTAAGAGTGTTCCAACTCCTGGAGGAAATGCAGAAAAACGGCATGTTTAATTTTAATTTAGGAAACCGTTTAGGTAGCAGCCTAGTTTCCTCGCTCCTGTCAATCAGGTTTTCTCAAGGCTGACATCAATTAGTTTAAAAATATTGAATGTAATTTTGCCTGACACAACATATTGCAGCCACTGCAAAATATAATTTATTTTAGAAGAAGAAATAATTAAACTAATTTGCATGTCAGTCAGCTGAGCTGGAATACCAAGGAGAGATGCGGCAGTAGAAGAAGATGCCCTCTTCTCTCTTTTTTTTTTCTTTTTTTAGTCCTCTTTTCCTTTGATCACGCTCAGCCTGTCAAGTGCAGCCTTTCCCTGTCCATGGGCCAGGTGCTGCTTCTTTCCCAGTCATGGGTGAAGTGTATGAGTGCAGAAATGGGTGCAGGAGCAGATACGGGTGCAGATGTGAGTGTATCTGCACCTGCATATGCAGTGGTGCTTCCTGAAGATGCAGCCAGTGCCAGAGCTTTCTGGACCTACTGATGTTAAGTTTGCATTGCTGTTGTGAGTCGGGCGTTTCATCACCAATGTGCTCCAGCAAAATCCTGATTGCTGCCCTAACCATTGCAAATTCAGTTTATGCCCCTCGAGTTGCAGAAAATATTTCGGGCAGATTTGGATGTTTTTTCCCAGCGATGTGCTTGGAGGTAGCAGAGGATTTTGAGGGGCTGTGCTCGAGGTGCGGGTGCAGCTCACACAGGAGGTGAACGGCACTGTTGATGCAGGGTTGGCAGTTGCCTTGGGAGTCCTYGTGTTTCAGCCATCTCAGAGCTGAGAGTGACCGTGAATGGAGCCGCTTGGGGCCAGTGCTGCTCCAGGAGCAGAGCTAGGCTCCTTGGCTAGAGTGGATGGCCCAAGGGGTCGTGCTGCCCTTGGAAAGGGTCTTGGCACATGGATAAGGTGGAGCTTGGTGCAACCCGGTCCTGCAGCCCCGGCTCATCGGTGCGGGATGGGGAGCAGGGTTGGCCGTGGCTGCAGCGGTGGCACCGTCTCAGCAGCGTGGGGTTGGCCACGGCTCCTCAGAGTGATGCCGGGATGAGGAGCTGGGTGCAGGCTGCGGCGTCCCCAGGTCTCCTGCTCCTGCTGTCTCTCCTCATCCGTCTCCCTGGGGCTCTTGCCAGCTCCTCTCAGCATCGTGGTGCTGCCACCTCTGCCTCCCGGCATCCCCGCTCCTGCGCTCCCTGCAGCTTTCTGCCTCCGCCCGCTGCCTCCAGCCCTCTCCCTCCCTGCCTTGCTTCTAAAATAACCCGTCGTGCCAGGCTCATCACGACTCCTGGCCCGTCTTGGCAGCACCGTCTGGGCAAGGGAGCGAAGGAGCAGGGCACCTGGGGCCACAGGGCACCTGGGGCCACAGACCCCGGCTGCAGGGAGCAGCGCTCCGTCCCCGTGGCCGTGGGAGCCCTGCGCAGTTTGGGAACCCTCGCGTGGCCATGGGAGCCCCGGCACGGGAGTGGGGAGCAGCCGGCACCTCCGGCCGCAGCGCCACCCTTCCTGTCTCTCTCAGATAACCACTCACAGGTATCCAGAGCTTCCTTGCGCATCCGCATCCTGGACGTGAACGACAACCCTCCCGAGCTGGCCACCCCCTACGAGGCTGCTGTGTGCGAGGACGCCAAACCAGGCCAGGTAGCGYGCGCCACCGGCTCCGAGTGGGACCCCCTTCCATCCCTGGGCATGGGGCCATCAGCTGCTCCCTATAGCCGATCTGGGTGCTGGCACAGCCGGGGTTGCCCATGGACACACGATGACACCGTTTCTCATGTGCTCTATCCCTGCAGCTCATCCAGACCATCAGTGTTGTGGACCGGGACGAACCCCAGAGCGGCCACCGTTTCTACTTCGCCCTGGCACCCGAGGCCACCCACAGCCACCGCTTCTCTCTGTTGGACGTCCAGGGTGAGTCTGGCCTYGGGTGCGTTTCCTCGGCACAGGTCCCCGCGGGCTCAGGCTGCAGTCGTGGCCCACGAGGTCAGTTGACCGACGGCATCTCCTCCCTGCCGATGCTGCTGCCAGCCCTGGGTGCCATGGAGCTGCAGCCAGGAGCATGTGGAGACAGAGGCTGCTGCAGCCTGGCACTTGGSTGGCCCCGGATGAAGCCAACAGCTCGTCTTGAAACCTTTTTGTTTTTTTCTTCTTGAGACTACTTTTTGTCTCTGTTTCTGCAGCCCCCTCTATCACAAGTCCCCTTTGCTCTGTTTTGAGCCTGTCAGGCCCCTTGGCTGCTACTGGACCTTGCTGTTTTGAATGGGTTCGGTGCCCTTAGGGACAGGCAAATGGGGCAGAAAAGCTTCAGGTGCGATTGCAGAAAGCTGGCGTTGTTTTGGGCCGTGAAAAGCGCAGCTGTCCCTGACCCAACTCCCTCTAGGGGCAGCTGGTCTGGAGCCCTTGGCTCCTTATCCCATAAGCGCAGATTAATCCGTACAAGATTGTGTGCCGCACCCAGCGATTAACCTCTTCCCTTTCTGTGTGGGGCTGGGAGGTGCTGCCCAAGTCCGGAACTGACCCAGCGTCTGGGGGGGGCCTGGCCCCAGTGAGCCCCAGCAGGACAGGGGGGCTGCCTGCTCAGGGCGGCCCCTTTGCTGTGGTGCCAGGCGGAATGGGGCTGCTCTGGCCGTGCTGCCCAGCCCCTGCTTGTGCACGTGGATCCGGGACAGGCACCCGAGCGGGGGCTGCAGGGAGCTGGGCTCCGCGCACYGCCGTGTCCCTGAGCTGCTGCCCTGGCCCAGCTGCAGCTCCCACGCGCACGCACGGCCCTCCTGTGCGCTCAGCAACCCCAGCAGCGTTGCGTGTGGTGCAACGCTGAGTAAAATTAAGCAGAAGATGGCATCATCTCCTGCATTCTGCTYGGGTAAAACAACTGCTGTTGCTGCAGGGTTATTCCCAGGTTGTTTGCAGACCCTCCGGATGCCGAGCAATGCCATCTGCAGCAGCCCAAAAGGAGGCTGTCACTGCCAGCAGAGACACCCCTCACCTCCCTGCGAGAGGCACTTGGTGGCATTTCCCCAGATTTTATTTCTTTTCCCCCCAACTTCACCCTGCATCACATGTCCTGCATCACCCATGTGTGCCTGTGCACTTCTTGCTGCATCCGCCCCTCGCCTCCCGCTCCTCCTTCGCCCCTCTTGCACTTCTCGCTCCTTCTCCATATAAATATCGGTGGTGACAAACTGCTACCACCAGCCCATCTGTTTCTTTGTACAAATTTGTAGCCAGTTTTGAAACGTGATTTATAAATATTGCTTTTGCAGCCAAGGAGTGACACTGATGGATGTCAGCACAGATGGATTCGCTAAGCTCCCGCTTAAATCCTTCTTCTCCCTTTGCACCTACTTCACGGCTCCTGGGAGGCAGCCGGGAGCACCCGCACAGGGATCTGGTCCCTGCGGGATTGCTCCTTGTGCTCCAGGGACGAGGGCCACGGCCACCACAGAGGCTGCTTGCAGGGTCCTCATCAAATACATGAGACGGGGGGGTGTCCTTGGCCACAGGCAACAAGTCTGTCGAGCCCAGACCTGGCCTGGTGTTTGCTGTGCACACGAGTGCACGGCAGCCGCCCCAGGGCTCTGCTGAGCTGGGGCCACTGCTGGCCCTTGGCCCATGTGTCACGTGCAGACACATGGTCCTCGCCAGGAGCTGCAGCTCCTGCATTGCCACGGCTGCTGCAGCTGCCTCCCGTCCTGCGCCGCTCAGGCACGAGAGCAAAGGAGGCTCTGGGGAGGCTCCCTGTTAGCTGAGCTGGGGCTGGAGCAGTTGCAAGAGATGCTTCAGAGATGGCTCCATCTCTTGCCTGCCACTTTCTTCCCCGCTCCTGCTCTTTCAGAGGGAGCCAACAAGAGTTTGAGAAGTTGGCAAACAAAGAATGAAAAGTTGTGTGTGAGCGTAAAGGAGCAGTGCCAGGAAGATACCACCCAAATGAAATGCCTGAAAGAAGAGACGGGGTTGGAGAGCTGATCTCGCTGGATCCAGATGGTTCCTTTCCAAAAGCACCTGCCATTCTGTGGTCCTAATGCCCTCATGGGCCCTTCTGGCCACAGAGAAGCAATTAGAGCAGCATCAAAGGTAATTAAAGCCCCAAAACATGTTTTCCAAGAAATCCTAATCATATTGGAAGGGATGGCAGGAAGAAGCTGAGCCCTGCAACCTGGAAGGGCTGGTGCATAATGCGGAGCGACGTGAGGAAGCTGCAGAGCCGGAGGGCCAGGAAGGCAGATGTCTGCACTCCTCGGGTCTTGTTAGAAGCACACGATGGGTGGAAGCGTCCAAGTGTGGAGCAGGAGCATCCAAGCTGTGTCTGAGGCTGGGCACCCCCTCTTGCTCCCACGGGCAGCCAGACTGCGGCGGGTAGGACGGAGCACCAGATTGCCCAGGGCTGAGTGTGGGAAAGGGGCTGTGGAGTGTGGGATGAGGAAGAGACAAGGGGAGATCCGACTGCCCCATGTAGGGGAGCTCCTCTTGAGGCCTTTGCAGTCACAGGCAGCTCTGGCAGCAGTCTCACGAGCTGATGAGCCRGTGTGTCCTGACCGCCAACGCAGCTGCCCGAGCCAGCAAAGGCAGATGCTTGCAGCAGCCCTGGGAGTACAGAGAGGGCTGGGACGTCGGATCCAGGCTGGAGGTAGATTGCTCCCTTCTGCTTTCCCAGGGCTGCTTGAGATTGAGTTATGAGAAGGATTTATTAGCTCTGTCTCTGACACTGCCAAGAGCCTCTTTGGAGAGAGGGAGTCTGAGAGACTTAATTATTGCGTTATTTCTAGTTCCTAGCAGAGCATATTGCATTCCTAAACTGCCCCTGCAGCGCTATGGACTGGTCCCTGCACACTTGCCTCCTGATGCTTTTGATCTTGCTTGTGAACTGCCCCTTGAGGAAGCAGAGCTGTCGCTTCCCCTCCATCGCATGCAACGATGCGACACGACATGGTATGAAACTGCCGCGTGCTCAGGAGAGGCTGGGCGATCTGCGGAGGATGTGAAATGCCAGCTTGTCCAGCACGGCGGCCTTGGCAGAGCCGGATTTGGCTCACGGGCTGCGGAGCGAGCGCGGCCTTGGGCGCAGCAGGGGCTTGCGTAGGCTGGAGCGTGGACAAGGGCCAGCCTGCTCTGTGCTCAGCGCCTGGGCCTCCCCCTGCTCATCTCAACATCTGCTGCAATTTCCCTGTGGCCTCCTGGGACACGCCGCTCTCGGCTCCATGGCCCAAACACAGCATTGGCCAGGAGCTGCTGCCAGGGAGGGATGAGGGAGGCCGTGGGCCAGGGTCCCTGCCTTGTCCTTGAACAACTCGCTCTGCTGGTGCACGCAGAGCGCCCCGGGATGCAGAGCCCGGGGTAGCTACGCTGGCCAGCGCCAGCCAGCAGCCGGCTTGAGGGCTTGCAGTGCTCTGTAAGCAGATGCTTCAAGTATGTTTGCCAGGCTGTGTTTTCTCATTTACTCTGTCCACGCTGGAAGGACGGCAGGGCTGCCAGCAGCACTGCTGCTCCCGCAGTCTCATCCCTGCCCGCGCGGTCTGTGGGTGACGGCAGTGCAAGGGCCGGGGCAGAGCAGGCTGCTCCATGTGCAGCTCGGCTGCTCTGTGCAGAGTCCGYAGGACCCATGTGGCTCCCGTGGGCCTGCAGCTTCCATGGGTCCTCGTGCAGAGGGTCTCAGGGCTAGGCAGGACCTGACCCAGCCACTTGCCGAGATGTGACCTTAGCTTTGGTCCTGTCCCCAGCCTATTGCAGCCAGCTGAGGCAGCAGCCCCAAATAGGGTCTTGGTATCTCATAGGCATGATCAGCATAATGTTAAACATTTCTTCTTCCTTGCTCATCCAGGCAGCAGCAGCAGCTGCCAGTGGCCTTCCTGTGGCCAGTGCTCCCGGTGCTGCCTGAGGGCCTCAGCCCCGGGGATGGATGTCACCCAGGATGGGCAGTGGGGGCTGTGGGCAGTGCCCTCCGTGCCCGGGCAGTGCTGCCACCCACTGCATCCCTCTGGGTCCCATGGGTGTGTGTGGGAGCTGCGGCCCTGCAGGTTGCTCTGCAGGCACCTGGTGTCTCGTCCAGCATGTGCAACCCCCTGCAAGCGCTGTCGTCCTGCTGCCCCTGCCCGAGGGTGCCTGGAGAGTCCCCTTTGCAGAGGAAGGGTGCTGCTCCCAGGAGGGGGATCTGGTGCCCTGTGCACGGCGCTGCGCGCAGGGTCTGTCCTCCTTCCTTCCCCGAGTGACCTGGCGGTGCTGTGCTTGCTCCCTGCAGACAACACGGCCACAGTGCACACGCAGAGGGTGGGCTTCAACCGCCAGGAGCAGGACGTCTACTTGCTGCCCATCCTGGTGGTGGACAGCGGCCCCCCAGCCCTCAGCAGCACAGGAACACTGACCATCCGCGTGTGCGGCTGCGACAGCAACGGGGCCATCCAGTCCTGCAACAGCACGGCCTATGTCATGTCTGCCACGCTGAGCCCTGGCGCGCTCATTGCTCTGCTGGTCTGCGTCCTCATTCTCATCGGTGAGTGGCCCGCACTCTTCTCATTTGCCTGTGTTTCCGCATGTGTGCACATGGAGGTGRCTGTGCTGGGATTGGTAGAGGCCCCTGGCTCCCTGCAGAGCAGGGAAGCAAACCAAGTCCTGCCACGGGGTGCAGGCGAGTCCTGCGGCTGGGGCATGGCCATGGTTGTCCCCAGCTGGGGCCCTGGGCTGGGCGCAAGGACACAGCCGGAGCAGCGCTGGGTGGGCTTCACTCACAGGGGACAGGGACTGTCAGGGCTTGCTGGAGGGCTCCAGGCAGGAGACCAAGAGCTGCTTGTGGCAGCGTGATGGCATTTGCAGTACTGTCCCTCCCTGCAATGAGAGGTATCTAGGGCAGGGACACGGCATGAAAGGTAGTAGCAGTGGGATATGGGTGTCCCCAAGGCAAGGATGTGGTGCTAAGGGTGACAGCAGTGGGACATGTATGTCTCTAGGACACCGTCCTAAGTGTAGCAGTGCTCTTGTCTGGGCCATCATCATTGTGTGCGCAGATGAGGAGCAGGGGATGTCTCAGCACCTGCCGGGTTGTGCAAACGTGCAGGTCTGTGGGGAGGTGCAGCTGGCTGCTCTGTACGGGCCATCCCCATGCAGGGAGCTCTCTGTGCCCAGGGGAAGCTGCCAGGGACAGTAAGCTGCCCGGGGGAGGCAGGGGCCAGGAGGAGGCTGCCGTGCTGCGAGGCTGCTGAGGCCTCTGAGCGCCCGCTGGCCTTGGCACAGCCTGGGCCGCCTCCSGGTGGCCCTGGACATCTGGGGAAGCTGGCGCCGTGTCTGCTGGATCTAGCTGCTCCTTGGCACGTCTCCGCTCCCCGGCTCCTGCTGCATCTCTGTTCAGAAAACCCTTTCCCACAGGGTGCACTTTACACCAGTTTCATTTTCCAACGCAGTGCAAACAAATTTCTGCCTAATTGCCCAGACGAATAAAGTGCACCTCAGTGCTCTGGAGGTGATGGGATGAATGGATGATGATCCAGGACACATCTGCGGCTCGTGGCTCAGGCTGTGCCATCTGCTTCACCATCATGYTCCCGACACCCGCCTGCCGCCGCGATTCATGCACCCCCTTTCCTCCTCATCCTCCGCAGAGTCCAGCCACTTGTCTCTCCCACCATACGTCCACCCATCCGCCCTTCGTGTCTCTGCTCATGCTGCATGGAAAGGAGCTCCAGCTCTGCTGGGAGCCAGGGCCACCTGCCACCAGTGACGCCGCAGCCGCCGCTCCACGGGTCTGGCCGACCTGACGCCGGTGCCGTGCGCGCCCCTCGCCCGCGCTTACGGTCTCTTCCCTTCCCAGTGCTGGTCCTGCTGATCCTCACGCTGAAGCGGCACCACAAAAGCCACCTGGCGTCCGAGGATGACGAGGACATGAGGGACAACGTCATCAAGTACAATGACGAGGGGGGTGGCGAGCAGGACACGGAGGCCTACGACATGTCGGCGCTGCGCAGCCTCTACGAGCTGGGCGAGCTGGAGGGCGGCGGGGGCCCGGCCGAGGCGGCCCCGCGCGGCAGCCTGGCCTCGGAGCGGCACGCGCTGCCGCAGTGGGTGCAGGGCCCGGAGCTGGACTTCGCCCTCTTCAGGGACTACATCTGCCGCAAGGTGGAGCAGGCGGACGGGGACGCCTCGGTGCCGCCCTACGACTCCTTCCAGACGTACGCGTTCGAGGGCGCCGGCTCGCCCGCGCCGTCCCTCAGCTCGCTGGGCTCGCGCTCCAGCACCTCCGAGCAGGACTTCTCCTACCTGGGGGGCTGGGGGCCGCGCTTCCGCCAGTTGGCCGCGCTCTACGCCGGCCGCAGGGCCGACGAGGAGCCCGAGGACTCGTAGCTGCGGCCCGCGCCGGGGCGAGGTGCGGGCCGGGCGCCTGCCGCCCGCCGGCAGCCGCGGCACCGCCTCCGGCTCGGGACTCCCCCCTCCGTGACAGCGCTGCACGTCCTTTTAAGAGAGAAAATCTAGATGAGGGAGTCGGGGGGCCCCCCTGTGGGGTCCACCCTGTACCTCTCCAGGAGCCTGGCACCTGATGGGAGCAGCGGTGCAGGAGCCCTTGGGTGAGCAGGTGCTTTTGGTCACTTGGGTTGGAGTATTTTGAGGGCTCTGATTTCCTTGAGAGCTTTTGTTGCAGAGGGAGCAACCTTCAGTTCTGCCCTGCTTCCCCCTTGTCCTGACTGGCCCTGTGGATCCCCYGGCGCAGGGCTGGGCAGAGCTGCTGGTGCTGGCAGCTCCAGGGGTGCCCCGGAGCCGGGCCAGCCCTGGGTACCAGCTCTGCACTCACCAGCGGAGGGGGCTCACGGCAGCCCTGCTCCRCAGCAGCGCTGCTTCCTCCCAGTGCTGCGTCCACCCTGGTTTTCGGCTGTGCTGCTGATGGGAGTGGGTCCCTCCTGCCCACGCAGGGAACGGCGCCTGCGGCCGGCACCCGGAGCAGGAGACAGGATGGGTAGGGCCGACTAGAGACCAAGGGATGTCCTGGAGCCTTGGTACGGAGGGGCTGTTCCCTCATAGCCACCAGCCCAGTGTGCAGGTGGGATCCTGGTGATCCAGCCAGCTGTGGAGAAAGGGGTGCCCAGGCTGTGCTGGCTGCTCAGAGCCCTGCTGCGTCCCAGGGCCACCTCTTCCTGCGCCKCCCTGGCTGTGGCGGCTCTGGGGGTGCTGGTGCTGGGTAGATGCGTGAGCAGGTGGCAGTCACCCTGGCAGCCTCCCCATCCCGATGCCTCTAGCCTCATCACCATGTGCGTCTTTTCAGTTCAGCCACGGGCAGGGGCTCCTGTCCTGGGAGAGCGCTCAGCTGTAAATGTCCTCACGTGTCTGCTCATCCCACTCTGCCTTCCGCCTGCCGTCGCTGCTGTCGTGGTGGAGTTGGGGCTGCACGGGGGTGTAGGCCGGGCCACAGCTCCTACCCTGTCTCATCCCTGCTGTGACTATGTCCCCATGCTGGCCTCTCCAGTGCAGGACGAGGCAGCTCCTCCAGCAGCGGTGGGAGCCACTCATTTCTCAGGATCCCTTTGACCACCCCAGTGGGTGCCTGCGTCCGCATCCTGCATCCTTACTCTACATCTTCATCATGCCTTCTCGCCCTGTGTTCCACTCTATGTCCTTTCCTGCATCCTCTCCATCATCCTTCACTGCATCCTCATCCTGCATATTCATCATGTGCAATTGCCCGTCTTTTTTGCCCACATCCTCACCTGCATCCTGACCCACATCCTCACCTCATATTCTGTGCTTCTTCTGCATCCTTGCCCTGTGCACTTGTCCTGCATCCTCACACCATGCTCATCCTATGCTTGCCCTGCATCCTCACCCATGCGCTGGCCCCGCGTCCCTGCCCTGCCCTCGCCGCGTGAGCAGTCGGTCGGTCACTGTGATTCGCCATGGGTCCCGGGATGCGGCCGGGTGCCCGCACGGTCATTCCAGCGAGGCCCTGTGCTGGGGCCCGGGGAGCGGAGAAAGCCCCTCTTTCCTCAGGAACGTGCCCATGTTCTCCCACTGGCTGGAGCCGTGTGTCCCGGCCTTCCCCCTAGCCAAGTGCTGTGCAATAGGTGGCCCCGGCCGCGAAGCCGACCTGGGGTGCTGAGCGGCGTGGGGCCGCGGGCAGTGAGCGCCGTGCGCGGGCTGGGGCTCCGCGGCGGCACCGGCAGCGGGCAGCACCRGGAGCCGCTGTCTGACACACTTGGGTTCCCTTCCTCTTTCCAGACAAAATCAGGAGGTGACTTCCCTTCCTTGTTACTTTTTTCAAGGTCTTTCTAGGACCTGGAAATAAATTATTTCCTTGTTGTCTCTCGCCTGACTCCTATGCACTTATTTCCTCGTGTCTCACTCCTCACGTCGCTGTTATTGTTGGGCTATTCACCGGAGCGGGGCTCGTGACGCCTCTTCCCTGTCAAGAGCTGGTGGCGGCTCCTGCCTGGCTCTGGAGCCACACGCTGCTGTCTGGGAATGTCTCCTTTTCCTTGCAAATCCCTAGGAGTATGGGCTTATTCTCGGGAAGGATGAAGTTCCTCTAGCTGAACTGGAAGGAAATGGGCAGCAGGTGTCTGTTGTGCATCCCGTGCCACTCGGTGTGGCTGGGGACACGGCCCAGGGGAGCAGAGCAGCCTGCGTGGGGTGGCCTCGCTCCTCATGCCGGGGAGCAGCAGTAGCCGAGTAGATGCCGAGCGGTGACAACGCGGAGCAGCCCAGGAGCGGAGCAGCCTGCCTGGAAGAATCTTGCTCCCCGGCACGAGGAACGGCAGCACCACGAGCAGCAGCCGAGCAGATGCYGAGAGGTGACCGCACGGAGCAGGCCGGGAGCGGAGCAGCCTGCATGGAAGAGCCTCGCTCCTCGTGCTGGGGAGCAGCAGCACCACGAGCAGAAGCCGAGTGGTGACTGCGCGGAGCAGCCCGGGCGCRTGAGGAGCTGCCAGGTGCCCAGGGAGCCCCCGCTGCGAGGGGAAGCGCCCGCAGCGCACAGGCTCGTGGTGCAGGAGGTGCCGAGGGCCCCACGTCGAGCCTGATGAGCAGAAGGGAGGCTCGGAGCAGCAGGTTGCCCGCAGGACCAGCCTCTTGGCTGCGGAAGAGGAGGGTAAGAGGGAGTGTTGATTGCAGAAGCATCTCGAGGGCGCTTTGAGGGCGCTTTGCTGCGAAGCCCCCTCCATATGGGGCTTGGAGGGGCTCCTTGCTGGCGGGGGCTCCTGTTCTGCCTCCACACACTCCAACAGGAGACACATTCAGGCCTCCCCCAGAGCTGCTGGCTAAGGACAGATGTGCTCTGCTGGGTTCATTAAGGGGAAACTGGAAGGACGGCAATAGCTGTGCTCACAGGAAAGATACATCTCTGGTAGCGGGGCGAGGAGGCCGGACCCCGCACGAGCTGAGGTACCTGGAGCGGTTTGCCTGGAGTGGTTTACCCTGTCTGCCGGAGGAAGCTCACTCCGTGCGCGGGAGCGTGAGCCCATGGGAGCGAGGTGGGAGCGATGTGCCTATGGCAATGATGTGCCCGTGGGAGCCATGTGCCCGTGGGAGCGATGTGCCCATGGGAGTGATGTGGGAGCGATGTGCCCATGAGAGCGATGTGCCCATGGAAGTGATGTGCCCATGGCAATGATGTGCCCATGGAAGCGATGTGCTGCAGCCCTGCTCTGCCAGGCTCTAGCCCAGGACCGGGCAGTGGCCAAGTCCCTCCATCCTGGGCGCAACAAGGCCTGCAGACGCTCATTAGCACAAGGTGACGCCTTCGTTATTCCCTAATAATTGTGTGAGCGGCTCCGCTCCGACGCAGACTCACTCACTCCGTGCACAAATGTGATAAAGGAAAAACAGGAAGTGCAATCAATGCTTGTAATCCTTTTAAATAAAAAGGTACTTGCTAGTAGCTGCCAACGTCTTTAAAAAGCTGTGATTTCCCTGGAGAGAGCCCTTATCAGCCGTGGCTGCGTGTCATTCTGACTGTCTGTCAATCCATCAGACTTCAGTGCCACTGACATTAAGAAGCCAGGCATTAAGATTATCACATTTAGCCATAATGTAGCACAGATTGTGTTGACATTTGGAAAATATTCCGCCACAGGAACCATTTCACTTCTATACTTTCTTCCCAAATAAAAGAAAAAGTGCTCTGAAATGTGTCGGGAGGAGCCCTGTGTCCCCGGGGGGCTGGAGCTGTGCAGGGGGGTACGACACCGCTGTGCCAGGTGCCAGCCAGGACCACATGCAGCCACCAGCCAGGGCCACACACGGCCCTGCAGGACGGCAGGGCCACGCACAACTGCCTGCAGGACGGCAGGGCCATGCACAAGTGCCTGCAGGACGGCAAGGCCGTGCACAACCCTGTAGCATGGCAGGGCCATGCACAGCCCTGCAGCACGGCAGGGCCATGCAGAGTCCTGCAGGACGGCAGGGCCATGCACAAGTGCCTGCAGGACGGCAAGGCCGTGCACAACCCTGTAGCATGGCAGGGCCATGCACAACCCTGCAGAACAGCAAGCCCTGCTGTCTCCCAGCCACAGACCTGGCAGTGTCTCCTCCCTGCTGCCGCTCCAAGCTCCCCTCGCCACCGGCGCCGCTCCGGGCGCACACGGACAGGCTGAGCGCTGCGGCAGGGCGCGCAGCTCCTCTCCCTGCGTGCGTGCCCAGTGCCAGCCTGCCGAAGCGCGCAGCTCCACTCCGGATTGCGTGTGTCCGCTGGGGAACGCACACCTCACTAGAGACTAACCGGCAACCTTAAATAAAAAGCCCTCAAATACTAACACAGCCACTTACACCATATTTGCATATTTGCTTAATAAAAAATTATGGCCATTCAAAGCCCGATAATTAATTACCCTCCATATTTTCTTTTAACTCCCTCCCTTTTTTATTACAGACTAAGCTGTTTTCCTGCTTACTCAGCAAAACCCCCCGCCGTTCCACCAGGATGAGACATGCAATAAATATGTACTTATTAAGTGTGCATTACAACTACACGAGCTGGGAGAAGCAATAACAGCCCTAACATAAAGCTGAAGTATTTATGCAGGTACCCAGGGCCACTTTAGCTATTTATTTTCACAAAGAAATTAAATTAGATTGTTTGATAGCTCTCAGTGTAATTACGGTGGGAATTTGCATAGGGGCCGTGTGCCAGGTGGTCGTGCGCGGAGGGACACAGCGGAGAGAGATGTCAGTGCAGGGGGATGGATCCGTGCGGAGGGAGGTATCGGCGCAGAGGGCAGATGAGGTGGCCAGATGATCTGGGTGCAGGATAAGGCTGGGCTGCCAGGATAGCCAAGCTCCTGTGGTGCAAGGGGAGCCGGTGTGCCAGGATGCCCATGCCAGGATGCTGCCCAGTGCTGGGATGCAGCCCTGCACCGGGATGTGT